ACATATCAGTGTTGCAATAATCCTTATAGCCAATTTACTACAGTTATGACACTATAAACAACATTGGTAGCACTATACAAGAACAAGATGGTTTACAATCTCACAGCCTTCACCTTTCTGACATTCTGAGACTCAAACAAATTCAGCGCCTTCTGTGATTTGATTTAATTAAAAATGACCATGATATTGCAAAATTGTACCTAATGACTTGCTTATTATTAACAAAATATAAATATATATAAATTATTATCAAGTAATGATACTTAATTCTCAGCGATTTAGGTCATGACCTTGTTTTATTTTTTCAGGATGAAGCAAAAAGACATATCTTACTTCACTTAAACTAAAAGAAATAAAAAACAACAATAAACACAGCAGTATATAACAACATTTTATTTCTATATAGCGCAACTACCTGATTCTGTGAAGATCGAAGTGTTTAACATACCCTAGGTGATTTTAAATAGGACAATTACATGGAGGTTGTAAATGTTAAGCGTGATCTCTTGAAATGTAGTGCACAAATACATATAAACATTAAAAGTAAGCATTATGATACATTGCAAAACAGGTCCCTGGGTTCTCTTTTAGATTAATAAAATGTATAACTATGAAAACAATCACTCACATTATAATTGAAATTAAATTTTAATATATTTTATTTTAGAATTATTACAAAGACAGAAATTGTGTGTGTACCGTATCTTTTGAAATAACAGTGTGTTCCGTATCATTTCAACATAACTTTATGAAATATGCTAAAACATCACTGCATTCACTCGATACATTGGACATAGTAAATATATCAGATTTAACATGTATTTTTCTATGAAATAGTGTCAAAAACATATGACTTGCTAGAAATTGCTTGTTATGACAAATGAGTGTGTACCGTTCCCCTCGGCCCAGGCTATGAAAAGAAAACTGTACTCGAATGTTCTCAAAACCATTCAGGGGTTTTCAGAATTTTGATATACCGTGGATAACTGATATAATTACGGGTACTCTGCACCTTATCTGATCAAAATCGGTTGAGTAATAAATAAGTTATGAATAAAAAACATACCTGAATCGGGAGAAAAATCGGCGTGTTCCGTACCCGAAAAGTCACGTGGTATGGCCACATTGAACTTGGCACGTTAAAGAACCAGGGGAAGCTTCTGGAATTGGGGCATCTTTCTGTACCTGTAATTGCACTATCTCCAAAATCTAAAATGACTAATACACTTCTGGAGGACTCGCCCATATGGGCAACCGGTGGCGAGTATAAATAAACGCAAATACACACACAGTAAGCAGATGTCAAAGTTAGAATGAGTTCACAAGATTTAGTACATTTTACTATTTGTCAAACACTGTTTACGCTTTGACATTGTGGCAAGTGATATTTTACTCGCCAAGTCGCTTTATCCTATGAAAGATTCTCATTAAATACCATATAATAAGAACACAAATAATGGGTTAAGCTCTTATTGGCCTTGCTATTTGGCTGAAGACAGCTAGTCGTATTGGCCAGAGAATGTAGGCTTATTATATCATTGCATGGCTGTAATGAAAATCTTAATCTGTAAGCTTCATTTTAAATATTTCAATGAAATTAAATCTGACATCTTTCGAAAAACACAAGAAATGAATAATACATACGTAACGAAGATATTAGTTAGATATCTGTAACCATTTTAATGCTCGTATTTTTATTCACGAGTTTGATTTGAACTTTTTTTCTTATCATGTCCGAATGCGCATGTCGAGTACGCCATAGTGAAGTTCAAATGACCATAAATACAAAACATACGCACCATAGAGTATCTATTTTAAGATAATTTTAAGAACTTTATTTTTCAAAACAAAAGCATAAGACAGATGTGTAAAGAAAACATCTTTTTAATTTATTGCAACAATAATGTGAATAACCACTGTTTTGGCGTTAAAATGGAAATAAAAACACGCATACGAGAAGCAAATTTGATAAAAGCGTAAACTGTTTGTGTGAACTTCACTCTGCAAATTAAAATCTATTTTAACTTGTGTGACCATGTCCCATTGATCCCTACCTCAATCAAAAGGAAGAATACCATGCAAGTTATATACCTTCCAAATATGAAATACATTTGTCAATAAATAAAGGCTGTAAAAGTGTAGAAATCTATTTTTAGAACTGGCGACCTTGACCCAACTGAACCCTTACTCCATCAAAAGCAGAAGACTTCAGTTTTATGTTCCTACAAATATAAAAGTCATCTCTCAAAAGAATAATGTTAATGCATCTGTAAAAATGTGAAAATCTATTTTAGCATTGGTGACTTTGGCCTTGACCCACAGGACCCCTATCTAAACCCAAAGGAAGAGGACATCCCTTGGCATGGTTGTATTAAACATGAAATACATTAAGTAATAGAAAGAGCATTGAAACAAGAGGCTATCTGATTGTACGAGGGGGCGTAGTCCCCGAGTATAAATCAGATTGCCGAGTGTTTTGATGTTCTTTCTCTTTTGTATCATAGTCAAACATAAAAACACGTTCCCTGATACCACAAGATGAAACCCCACAAAAAAAGTAACCAATGAACGAGCATCTGAATATGATATTTCCATCGCTATCCCTTTCTCTGTCGTCACAATATGTTAACCCCGGACAAAATGAACCAATCAATGGGCATGCTCTGGAGTTTACGCATTGTGCATGTATATGTATACGATTTAACTCTGACAAATTTTCAACAGCAAGGTCCCCAAACTATGATACAACTTAACAATAAAGGCTTAATGAGCGAAAATGTTATAAAAATTTTCACACCAGTGACCTTGACACTAGAGACCCCTTACTCCACAAAAAATACACGGCCATTAAAGGTATTAGGTTAACCATACAAGGTCATATTTTCAAAGTGAAAAAAGGAACAAAACTTGGGAAAATGAATGTCAGAGTTATATAACTTGGCAATATCATGAACTTTCTCTAAATAAGTAAGTGTGGAAATTATGAAGCCATTAGTATAGACAGTTCTTAAAAAAAATCCATCTTGCCGGTTTAGGTTTACGATATTCATTATCAAACTGCTGAAAATGGCAATAATTTGATAAAAATTCATGTAATAATTATGTAACTTGCCAGGATCAAGTATATTGTATTGATTAATAAATGTGTAAATTATAAAGCCATTTGAACGAGTAGATTTTAGGAAAAATCCAACATGCCATTTTATTATTTTGATCGTTCCATTTTTTATAACATGACACCAATTTTAGGCTGCCAGGCTCCTAGACTGCCAGCTTTAGGCTATTAGACTGCAAAGTTCAGTGCCCTTACGGTAAAGGCGTTTTTCCATAATCATGCATTTGTATGTGCTTTTGCAAGACCTTTCATAGTGATTTTACTGTACTTTAAATTGTTTCCATATTTATAATATAAGTCACTAACTTTAAGCTACTAGGCTGCCGACTTATGCTGTTAGATTGCCAACTTCAGGTTGCAAAGCTGATATCGATAGGCTGTTAAGATGTTAGGCGGCCTCTTCATGATACTAGGCTGCCAACGTTAGGCTTCCAGGGCGTGAGGCAAACTCCTAAGGCCAAGGTCGTCAGCTATTTAGGATTCCTCTTCCGACTGCGAGACAATTTTCTCCTCAGTCAACAAGGCCATCAAACTGCCACCCTAGGCAGCCAGAACGTTAGGCTGTCTCTTCTGCCAATTTTACAGACATGATTATACAAAACTATTTACAGAACAATGCCAATTTTTCAGTTTCATACAAAAAGTATACAATTGTATAATTATCAATATTTCTTGCATAAGTTCAGCTAAAATCCAACGCAAAACAATATACATTATTAACAAGATGAGTATTATCGTCGCCAAAATTGAAACGCAGTTCCATATATAATAAATTCACTCGCTTTCAAACAGACAAAATTCGTCTTGAGTAGGCAGATTTAATTAATTTGATACAACAATAAAACTTGAGTTTAATCTTGCGACATTTAACGGTAGTGTTGCGACATTTAACGGTAAGGGAAATTCGTGCGACATTTAACGTTAACATTGCGACATTTAACGGCAAATAATTTTGCGATATTTAGCGGCGGTTGCGACATTTAGCGGCAAAGGTGCGACATTTAGCGGCAAGTGCGACATTTAACGGCGTTGCGACATTAAACGGCGCCACACTGCAGTCAAACTTTAGAATTGAAAATATCACTAAATAAATTATAAAATATAATAACACTTGCGTTTGATTGGTTTATAAAGAATTTGTCTTAGTTCGATTGTGTAGGCTTGGTTTAAACAGATTTAATTAAGCTCGATTGCAAAACAAGTTCTTGCACTTTATATTAATCATTTTCGAGGCCGTTTTCTTGACCAACTGTACTGGTGTCTTATGAAGAAATATGGTCGTGACCCATGAGCTCGAACCCATGATCCCCTGGGTTGATAGACAGACACTTTACCCACTAGACTACCGCTCCCCTTAATTGTGTAGGAAGCTTAAAGCTTACACACACGCTCTCAAATCCGTCCCTGGAACCAACCAGTACTGAGCAATGACTGCTTTTCTTGCTCAAGGAAACAACGGCTCGTCCGTAATGGGGTTTGAACCCACGCGGATTGCGGCCTTCAGAAAACTAGTCTTAACAACTCGGCCAAGCGTGTGATTATGACCGTTATACGTGTTGGTCCGTAGCAAAATCTACATTGTTGTTAATCATGTATATACATGTCTATTTTGCAATATATACAATTTTCAATTATTAAGGAAATCCACAGACTCTTACATTATGTTTTATGTGAAAATAATACTATAATAGCTGCAATGGTGCCGAATTTCTGTGAATGAAATGAAGATTTATTTTTTATTTTTATTTTCAACTTTAATTTCTAATAGTGGAGCCAACGCACAGATATATGAAAGATAGTGGTTGTGGTAATTTAGCTTTAAGAATATAACTTTATGCATTCTTTATATTGATAATATATTCTAAAAGATAACCCAATAACAACGACCTGTTATAGTGATTTTATTGATAAGATATTCTAAAAGAAAACAAAATAACGACCTGTTACAGTGATAGTGATTTATTGTTCAGTCAAAATAGTTACATTTAAGATGTTGCATGCTTTGACAAAACGAATCAAATAGATGAAAAATACGGTTGAGATTCGCCATTCTCAACTTTCTAACCTCTTTGACCTGTATGATATATATCATGCACACGTCTGTGAGAGTCAGAGAAAAAAGCTCCTTAAAGCAGTTTGGAATTTTCATCAGTATCGGACTATCCAAAATAAATCATTAGCATTGTCTTACTCTGACTCAAAAGCGTTCAACGAATCATGATCATATTTCAAAACTACGCCATCATTTGAAACGTCTGAACGATGAAGATCATCTTTCGAATTTACTTCATTGGTTGAAGCGTCTGAAAAAGCTGGATCATTTTCTGATTCTACATCATTAGTTGAAGCGTCTGAAAGACCCACATCATCTTCCTGATCTATATCATCTGAAGAAGCGATTGAAAGGTCAAGGTCATCGTTAGCATCTAGGTTATCAATGGCGTCGGTGAAAATGTTTGGTTGATCCGGATTTCTTGGAAAGTAGTTGGTTCCCAGTGTCTTTTCTGCGACCATATGTAAGTACTCGGAAAACCTGTCAATGTTTGCAATGCTGTCCTCCTCGAAAGCCCTTAGTCTGAAGCAGCCTAGTTTGAGATGTACTCTAAACCTCTTCTTCTGTAATAATAATGAATATTACAACAACAACAAAAACAAAAACAACAACATCAACATCAACAACAACAACAGTATCATCAGCAACAACAACAACAATAATAACAACAAAGTAAATAGTACTAGTGTTGCTGCTGCTGATGATGATGACGATAATAAATATAAATAAATAAATAAATAAATAATAGTTATAACGTCAATAATAATAATAATAATAATAATAATAATAATAATAATTGTGATAATAATAAAAATAATAATAATAATAATGATGATAATAATGATAATAATAGTTAATATGAAATTAGGTGCTACCTATGGCGCGGAAAGCTCTTATGAATTATGATTTTAGCATAACATATTTAGTGTACTTGTAAACCAGATCTTTTTTGAATAAAAAAAACGAATAAATTGGTGGTGTTCAACCTATCACCGGAAACGCTCGGCCTATTCCGAAAAACTCCGGACCTCTGCGCATGCGTGGGCGTTTGGAAAATCCCGTCCGCCATTTTTGTTAATCTCTAATCACAGTTGTTGTTTTTACGTTATTTTTAATGTGCTAATTTATCAAAAAGGATATGTTTGAATAACTTTTTATATTTATAATCGTTACTATAATTTTTATCAATGAAATGCAGGTTTATTTTCTGATTTTGTACATCATTCTTTCACCGGAAGTGCTACTAAGCATGCGTCTGCAATAGTCTGAATTATGTAGACGCTCATGAAAAGCGTTCAAAAGGATTTCAAAATGGCTGCGCCCAGTTAACTAAGGATTTTTTCGCAGCCCATTAGGTATAGGATATATATTTTTTTGAAATTTTCATAAAGTTTGAATTTGATTTCCTTTAAACTGATACGCGTCATACATGTTATCTAAGAGCGCTACAGCCCTCGCGGGGCCTTCGGCCCCGCTCGGACTTTCCGCGTATTAATATTATCTTTATTATTATTATTATTATTATTATAATTATAATTATTATCATACTTATATTAATAATAAGATGATGATGATGATGATGATGATGATTATCATGATGATTAAAATAACGATAATGAAAAACACTTTGCAAAAAGATGTCATTAGCACTTTTACTTAAAAAAACTTTTAGAATATTTGAAAATTATCATTACATATTTAAAGCAGCATGCCTATAAATCAATACATATTTTGAAAATAAATTCAAAAGCAAAATATTGTAAAGTGGACACAGAATATTTAAAATGAATTGACACATTGTAAACAGCGCTTAAAATTCCACGTTAATTACCAAAAAAGTGGTCAAAATGTGCAAACACAGCCTTTAATGTGTTAGTAACGCAGTACAGATATGATGATAAAATAACACAGTTATAAATCGCACATTACAAAAACATAATGTCGGATCCTGCTATAAAAAATATAAAAAATATGTGCCATTTCCTTTAAATTATTTCTCGAAGTATCTGGGGCTTTTAAAGTAAACTTGATAAAAGGGGTATAAATGTCTAAGCCACTAGGGATCGAAAAGTCATGTTAAAAGGGGTCTAAGTGTCATGGGGTCTAAGACTTAAAGTGATCTTAATTTCAAAAAGGGTTGAGAAGTCAAGGGGTCGAAAGGTCTTACTTGCTACATTATTACTTGACTCAGACATTTCTTTAAACTTTTCTTACATTCTTAGTACAGTTTACCCAAGTTTGATTTTCTTGAAAAAATTTTTTGGCTGATCTGGAGTTATGCAGCTTTAATGTTAGCAAAAAATCATACCCAAAGATTAACTTTGCCTGTCAGTCTTGCACACATGCTCCGCCTCCTTAAATTTATGTTGTACAAATTCAAACACACTTTTGCCGCCGGAAACTGGGGCACCCGGTAACACAAAGATATGCCTGTTCGTACTGGAAGAGAAAAAAACCCCAAAAAACTAACAAAATAAACAGCACCATAAACAAAATAATAAACAAATAACAATGAAACAACAACAACAACAAAACCATTAAAATTAAACATAGAAATACATCAGTTTATATTACGATTTCTTTTTAACTGGGACAAAATATATTATTCAAAATCCCAGGTTTTAGTAAGAAGTTGCACTTTTATAACGTCGAATTTTATTGGATAATGCTATTGTTTTTATGATCTATTTACACGTCTACTGTTTTTATTGTCGTGATACATATAATAATTCTGTTAGAAAGCTTGTTGAATGGTAATACACTCATGTATAGACATTTTAACAATATGACATTTCCATAGAAACGGAAGTAGCATTTAGCGCATGCGCATTCTGTGTAGAGACTTAAGACAATAACGGAAAAATAATTTTCATCAATATTCAACACCTTAACTAACCATTTGATATAATTTAAATGAATCATTTTAAGTTTAGAATAGATATTTTTGATAAATAACCGATGCACTGGAGCATTTAAGTAATAAACTTGAACATTTCTGCATTTACGCATTAATTCAGGGCCTTTCATATTCGAAAGATCTTGAATGATACAATCGAGTCTTACAAACGAAACTTCGTATACAAGCATAGAAATTTAACCATCTCTTGCATTTAGGTGTGCTCAAATGCGGCACTTAAGCTACAGTCTCACTTACATCCCGGCAGAGCCCCGGCAGAGCCCCGGTAGACGTCCGGGGTGATCCGGGAACGACCGGGGTACGACCGGGAACAACCGGGGTACATCCGTAACTCTGCCGGCAACGTCCTGGATGATCCGGGATGATCCGGGAACATCCGGCATTCGATCCCGGATGGAATAAAATATTTAATATCACCGGGGTGGTCCGGGATGATCCGGGAAGGTATAGCTTTGCCGGCATCATCCTTAGCTCTGCCGGGAACGACCGGGGTGATACCGGGAAAGCACCGTAGCTCTGCCGGCACAAACCGGGGATGATCCGGGGTATGATATAGCCGGCAGAGCTACGGTAGAGCTACGGTAGAGCCCCGGTATATGCCGGCAGAGCCCCGGTAACTACAGGCAGAGCCCCGGAGGATAAAGGTAGAGCTACGGTTGATCCGGTAGAGCCCCGGCAAAGCCCGGATCATTTCAAAAAAATAAGGACAATTTGTGATGATTGAACTTGTTTGTATTAAAAGCCTTCCCATTTCCCTTCTTTCCAGTATGGCATAAGGATTTTTCAGAAAATCATCATGAATTACTATTCTGGAACAATAGATATTATATTAAATAAAAATTATGTATCAATGTTATCATTTTCGGGCGTTTTCAATCCACCGGGGTTCTACCGGGGCTCTGCCTGGATCGTCCTGGGCTCTGCCGGGGCTCTGCCTGGATCGACCGGGGCTCTGCCTGGGTCAACCGGGGCTCTTCCGGCGTCATCCGGGAACGACCGGGGAAGCACCGGCATGAACCGTAGCTTCACCTGGGCTCTGCCTGGATGATCCGGAGCGCATCCTGGGTGGTTAGTTGGGAACTACCGTAGTGCTGCCGGGGTAAGTGTGACCGCAACAATAATTTCACCCCGGATCATCCCGGTAACTTACCGGGATGGTCCTGGGCTCTGCCGGGAGTAAGTGAGACCGAGGCTTTAGTTACATCTTCGATAAAAGTGTGCGAAGTTTTGCTCTGAACTCCTCAATTAGATGTCGTAAATGCGAATTTTATATTCGACGAACAAATTTTAGTTCTAAAAACTGACATCGTTGTCGTATATTGGCTCATATAACATACCCCTAATAACAGAAAGTGATCTTACGAGTATATCTCCTGTGAAGAACACGGCGTCCGTTGAGAGTAAAGGAAACTTCAAATCCTCGTCGTACCAATTGGACCTTTACACATGCTGAAAAAGTGAAAAGACAATTTGTAAAACTCTAATTGTTCATGTAAATAGTTAACGCGATAAAAGTAGAAAGGATGAAGGACATCATGATGAAGAAGGAGAAGAAGAAAAAGAGGAGTAGGGGAGAAGCTGTATATGAAGGGGTAGAAAAAGAAGAAGATAATGAAAAAGAAGTAAATAAAAAGAAGAAGTGAAAGAAAACAAATAGAGGGAGAAAAGGAATTAGAAGGAGAGGAAGAAAAGAAGTAGAAGTAGAGGAAGAAAAAGAAGTAGAAGTATAGGAAGAAAAAGAATTAAAAGAAAAAGACAATAAAAAGAATTAGAAGAAGATAAAGATGTAGAGGAAGAAAAAAAGTAGAGGGAGAAAAAGAAGTAGAGGAAGAAAAAAAATGTAGAGGGAAAAAGAAGTACAGGAAGAAAAAGAAGATGAGGGAGAAAAAGAAAAGAACAAGGTGAATAAGAACACGACGAAGATAAAACAGAAGAAGGGGAAGAAAAGGAAAAAGAAAGGTAGGGGTAAGAAGATGACGACGAAGAACAACACCAACAAAAACAGAAACACAGCAATCGAAATAGAAACTTATTGACTGGGATACTTTACTTTTCAGTGCAACCTTCTTCCTCTTTGACAAGCGCAGTTTCCAAAGGAAAAACGGCAAAGAAAATAGGCGATTTGTCACTCTTTTATAGCAATATACAGCAATTTGCCTCATACTTTTACTCGATTACGATAAAGAGTTCCCTTTGTAGTAATTGTCAATTTTTACTGGTCACTACTTGTAACCAATTAATATTTCGGTGATGATGTCATTATGTAAATTTGAATAGCAGGCGTTTTTAAAAAATATAGTGAAACAAATCATGATTTAGTTGCCTTTACGTCCATATTTGTTAACTAAATATACATGTGCATCCCTACATCAGTCTTTTTCCAAAGTCGCTTAATATGTTAATTTTTTCGATTTGTTGTGATATGGATCACTTTAGTTTTATATCTCCTTTTTAACGAGAGATTGTGAAAATTCTTCATTGAATAAGCTTTTACCTCGCAATGTGAACGAATATCTGCGTCTCCAGGCTCGAACACAGAACCTCTTTGAAGCACAGCATTGGCAGTAGCGCCGACCACACCCGCAGCCTCCCCGGGACACAGACCTATGTTTGCCGTACTCTATAATAGCTGTACGAAAAAAAAAATGATTTGCTAGCTTTTTTTCAAATAGATATAAGGGATTTGATTAACTAAATAAATTATTAGAAAAGACGCTTAAATATCTTATATCTTATCTTATATAGATCTAGAATAAACATAATTCATTAACTCAAAATTATCAATAAAAAAAATGAAACCTTTTTATGACAATATCTTACTTTTGTATGAAGACAACCCCCGGCGCATAAATTTAAAATCTTTCTGACGTCAAACATAGTACCTCAGTGACAACGTTGAGAACGAGTGTTCACACAGTATATAGATTCTAATTGTTTTGTTAAAATGTGTAAAGACATTAGAAATTGTAATATATGATAGTTGTAAGAAATTCAAATCAAAGATCTCCTGGCTATTTATTGTTTTCTTTCTCTGTGAATTGAAACATCTCTATTCTGGGTCTAGTCTTTAGCCAATACATTAAAAAAACCGAACAAAGTCCATAAATAAATTATTATAATTCACTCACATGTTTCGTCATCTCTATCAATATACGAATCTCCAATTTGTCTCATGAGGCCCTCAATGTCAACCTGGTCGTCTGGTCCACCAGGTAAATATATGACGTCATCGTTGATGTCATCATTTGACACAGATTCCTCATTTGATTCCTGGACCGTTTCTTCTGAAACAAAATGTGACAAATATTTTCAGATAAAGAAATATTTCAGTTATTGATTACGCTAAAATTACATGTACATGTATGTCTTGTCAAACGACAATAAATCTAATTATTTTTAATGATTCGAAACAAAAGTCTATTTCATACAATAGCCCCGTTTTGATAAAGTGTTTTTTTTACAATAAAATGTCCTTTGTGACTTCAGTTTTGTTAGCTAAACATGAATGATAAAAAATCAGTGCTAAAACACACGTCGCTTTATATCCATCTTCCCGTTTAGGCCTAAATACTGTGAGCATCCTTCCAAAAAATAACAAATCTAATGCCAATAATCATTACATATTAAAATATAAATTATGAAACTTACCTGTTATATAATCTTTGACAAGGTCATAAAATTCAGCGTTTGTTAAAGAAGCCACGTTCGATACAGCATAAATAAGAAGCAAAAAGCCACATACGTATAAATGTGAACGCATTTTGTCATTTAAATCGCGCAGTAAACTTTTTCTCTGTCGCGAAATAAGTGACGAAAAGATTTATCTATTCACTGCATTTTATAATTGCATATTACCAAAATCTTTCACTTAACAACACCTATACTAAAAGCACATCCGGGTTGAATTTTGATTGTTATCATTGATAGATTTACTGTTACAAAATATAATAAATAGCTTTATACTTTTATTGATAGCTTGAAGTAAAACTCCTTATAAATAGATGTTTTTTTTGAAGCTCACAAAACATTTCCTCAAAAATTCAAACAAAGATATACTATTTTATTCATTGATCGATTTATATATTTTTTTTTCGTTCAAATTGCCAATTAGAATTCTAAGAACAGTTGATTTCTTTACTGGTATATATTTGTGCATCGTCAGATACCCACGATTGATAAACATGTCACATAACATGCAATCAATGATAATGGTTCGGCCGTGGGTATCCGACGATGATATTTGTGACGTCACGGATTTAACAATTTCTCACCTTTATGAAGACCGATATATGGATCAACAAAAGAAAATTCTGTAAAGTTGTTCAGGGTTCCACGTGTGTGAAAAATTCTTTGGTCATAATATGAATTTATAATTATATGTTTACAAGCAAAATAAAACGGTTTCAGAAATATTAAAAGAGAAACTACGGTATTAAAATTGCTAACGTGTGTTTGTGCAGAAAAGCAAAGACAAACAGGAAAAAATAACAAAAGTGAAGAGTTAAACGTTTCCGGTATCAATTGAATATCAATATCCAAAATTTCAATCTCGTCCAAGTACTAGATCTAGTACTGTTTTGATTTGAATATCTATCAAATTCGGATGTTATCAATTTCAAACAATATCCCATCGACAAAATCAATGTCTGTTCATGTATTTTGAATTGTCTCAAAGTAGGACCAACACTTAACAATTATCACATAACAGTTTCGATGATAATAAATTATTATATTCAAATTAATTATAATGGTCAAATATTATATCAAATTTTAAGACAGAAATTTAATGATTTGCAATCTTAAGAACAGAACATAACAGATACTTTATTTAGACGTGTACATCGTTCATTATCTATATATAATACAGTAATAACTACAAAAAGCGACAATATAAATGTAATTGCAATAGGTCTTACTGATTTTTTTCACAATATATTTTTTTAGTAACATTTTTGTTTATAAATGCATATATGTATATACACATGTTATACAAAATAAAAAAGTACAAAAATATACGAAAACAAGGAGAAATGAGCAATATTGATGTTTAATGCTCATCATTAAACAGTGTGTTTCTAAAAGCAAGTGCTTCTTTAACAAATTTGGATAACTGAATTGCAATTAGGTATAGGATATTTATATATATTTTGAAATTTTCATTTAGTTTTAATTTGATTTCATTTGAATTGATACGCGTCATATATACATGTTATCTAAGAGCGCTACAGCCTTCGCGGGGCCTTCGGCCCCGCTCGCACTTTCCGCGCATAATGATAAAATGTGGTAAACATCTTAATCTACAAATGCAAAACTAAAGGAAAATAATATCGACTATTTATTCTAACAAATAAGCTTTTGTTATTAATCATATCGCATTTGAAGATGAAATAAATATAAATATCTTTATTTTTTTTCACATTTATTTTGTTAAATAAACTTTTATATTCAATGAACACCATATACAAAACTCCCTGCTTTACAATACTTTGTATACAACAGCTATTTTAGACAAAAAAACATTTGTCCGATCTTTGGTAGAGATACTTTTAGAAAAAGTCTTCAAGTAGCACTTCAAGCTTCTCAAATCATTTATAAACAGAGACACACAAGCTTAATTTATATCAGACGTAACAAAGTCACTTTTTTTTTAAAACTGGCGGTAAAGGTTTTCAGATATTATTTTTGTCTATCGTTTAAACTATCACATAAACGTGATGATTGCATGTAAATTTCAAAAGGCTTTCTTTAAAAACTATATTGTAAAAAATATATATTTAGTGGACCTGTGACAAAGTTTGAAGTTTGTAGAGCACGCATGTTCCTTTTGGGTGGTATCCTTTTTGTTGGTCATATTTGTAATACCAAACAGAAAATTATGAATACTATTGAAACCAATTGTGCACCCCTGGTCACCAATATGTTTTCGTATTGCTATGAAAGAGACGTCTCTTAATGCTGAGCCTATATCCATATCGAAACAAGACGTTATAATAGTATTATATAGCATTTCCCTATACTTTGATGACATCTTTAATTAAGATAATACTTATTTCTGCCCAAATGATATCTGACATATATCCTACAGAACGCCAAACTGAATAAAACTTATCCTTAAAATTTTACAACATTATTTTATATGAAGTAAAAAATACAACGCATACAAAATTCTATGATCAAAGAGATGACTTTGAAAATCCGTCGTGCTTTGCCCTTATACGCTATACTGTTTTGTTTGGTTCCCTGTTGGGCTCCTCGCCGATGTGTTGCTGGTTATTGTCTGGGAATGCGTTCAATAAATGCCACTTTTCCACAATATCCACATTTGGAGGGAGATGCATCTTATATAAAAATCAACTCATTATCTAAAGCCTGTAAATATTGGAGCTTATGCCATGTTAACATACAAGAATCAATGGCGCACATGTGAAATTAAACCAGTGGGAAAAAATGAATAATAAACAAAAAAAAAAGCAAAAGGAAAGGACATAAATGCATCTCAGTTAGTTAGGAATGCCAGGGCATTTGGCCAAGTAAACGATTTTATACTGCCCTCACACATACCTCGCGACCTTACTGCGTCCTTACTGCGACCTTGCTACGATCCAGGACGCAGCACAGTCGCCATGGACGCAGCAGGGACGCAGCGAGGTTGTAGCGAGGAACCCAAGGACGCACAAGGCCGCAGACCGTCGGCGACTATTTTGAACATGCACAAAACAGTCGCAGAAACTCTGCGTTCTTGCTGAGTCCTGGTTAGGTCGCCGTGGGATCGCAGTGGAGTCGCCATAGTCGCAGCAGCATCGTAGTAAGGACGCAATAAGAACGCAATAGACGGAGTACACTCGTACTAAGGACGCCGTAGAGTCACCGATGAAATTACAAGAAATTGCTCGGAAACCTTTGGCGACGCTACTGCTACTGGTAAAAAGTATTGTTTTTATAGACGTAGCAAGAACGTAGTAGGGTCGTCGTACAGTAGCAGGACAGTCGCCGGACAAACGCAATAGTCGTCGTAGAGTCGCCGTTAGGACGCAGAGAACATAGCACAGTCGCAGCTGGGTCGCCGATGATCGCCGTGGGGTCGCCTTGGGGACGCAATACAGTCGCAGTGGAAACGCCATGGACGTAGAAGGGTCGTATTGAGGACATAGAGAAAACGTACTGAACACAAGACTGCAGAGCCCCGGACCGTTTGCGAGAGAAATTTGAAAGAAAACCAACAATTTTCGAAAGAAAGATGCTATTTTACTAGTTTTCAGGTCGCAGTAAGGTCGTGGTTTATGTGTGAGGGCTCCATTAACGCACAAAATACGAACAAGCGTCTCAAACTGGATAACCGCTGTCATAAACTGAAGTAAAAATTTTCAAATTTAATAATTTCTTATTACATTCATAATCCAATAACGACTTATTATAAATCTTTTTCTTTTGTCGCAAGAAATCCTGACATCTGTGGATATGTGACCTACAAACCTCGTTAATCTTGGGTTACTTTCTGCTGTCTTTCTAAAATTACTAACTATTTCATTAAAAGAGGTTATGACCCTACAATTTTAAGGCATTCCGCATGCTTAGTGTTCAATGCCTTTACAGTTAGACACTTCTCTTTCCTCTTTTAATTACAATGACTGGCCATGTGGGAGACCGTATTACGGACAGTTCCTGAAATCAACTGGAGATGAATTGTCTTAATTTTTGATTTTCCACTTTGCTTCGTTGCGCCAGTGTACAGATACTAGTTGCCTACATTTAAGGCATCGAGTACTTAGACGTGAAGGCAAAAAATCAGAACAGTGTACTTTTATATCAAAAACTGTTTAATCTTCGTAAGCGCATTTTTCGTACTAATGCCTTTTCTAGCGTTTGTTGATCATCAATAAAACTAAAAGATTTTAAAGCGTTCTGGACTTCCCGGTGAACCTTTCTTCTCCTAACTGAGAGGCAAAATGGAAATGAATGACATCGTTTCGTTCGAGTCTTCTTTACATTTTTTTTCTGTTCAAATCCCTCTGGGTATTCAGGAATGGTTTCTAAAAGCCTCCTTGCCGGAACTGTTTGTACATTAATTTCTGACACGCAAGCGTGTGAATTTGAAACGATACTTCCGGCACGTGACGGCTTTCGCAAAATGTCATGCATTTCAATGTTTGTTGACCTATACCTTCGTGACGGCTGGAAAAAGAATAAAATAAAAAAGACAAAATAAAGAATATTTAATTCCTATATAATCATTCTGGAAACATCTTGTATATTCAAGACAAATTATTCATTCTTATCCAAATTCAATTTATTCAAGAGCTTTAAAATGTGGTATCAATTCTCAATTGGCTTAAGATCAGGCGGCGTACGGATTGAGATTGTCAAATCTTGTTAATTGTATATGTCCCAGTCAAGGAACGTATACGAATTATAGTTTAAAAAGGGGTCAACAAATAAAAATGCTATCATTATCTAATATTAAGTCATTTTAATGTTGTTTTGTTATACCAATGCATTAATGTTGTTACCTCTACATTTATTTTCATTTGTTCATGTCGACGCCGCCATTTAAAGTAGCATGTGGACAACAGTAGCACTGCAATGCAGGATATAGTTGATAAAAGTACGGCTAACAAAACTTCATGATCGCTGTCGTCTTTCGAACCTATAAATATATCGGAAGTAAACCTAAATGGACTTGCTCATTTTTCAGTCTGGACAAAACTATGCGTAGATTTAAGAATTTTTTTATAATATAATATAGTTGAGTAGCAAACAGTAGAATCATCTAATAACACGAGTATGCCGACTGTTTCTTACGAAGGACTGGTAGGGTCATTTCAACTTCATGAATTCTTGATTTCATCTTCATGAATTCACAATTTTAACTTCGTGAATTCCCGTTTTCAACATACGGAATTCACGACTTCACGATTTCAGCTTCATGAGTTCCCGATTTCAAATTAACGATTTCACTTTTTCAAATTCATGAATTCACGATTTCAACTTTACAAATTCAACTTCGTGAATTCACGATTTCAACTTCATGAATTCACGATTTCAACTTCATGAATTCACGAGTTCAACTTCACGAATTCACGATTTCAACTTCACGAATTCACGATTTCAACTTCATGAGTTCACGATTTTAACTTCACAAATTCACGATTTCAACTTCATGAAATCAACTTCGTGAAATTGTTTATTTGAAATCGTGAATTCATAAAGTTGAAATCGGGATATCATGAAGATGAAATCGGAAATTCATGAAATTGAAATGTCCCCACCGGTCTTTCGTAGAATCTAGTCTGCACCGATCACGTGGGTACAATAGTTGTCGCTCCCTTCGTCATAATGGCAAACTGAAAGTCAGATGGCGACTTGCCGGCTTAACTGACCGGGGAAGACCTGACGCTCCAAACAATTATATCATAACGGACTCAAGGGGTCAACACAGCAGAGTCACCTACCTCATATGGGCCAGTCGGCTAGGTGGATAAAGTCTTTACTCAACAGAATGCAAAGAATCTGTATTGAATAGAGTGCACAGTTCCGAATGTCGATAAATTTATCTCTAAGTTATATCACTGTTGCGCAGGGTTCACCGGAAATAGCTTCTTAAAACATAGAAAGCGAAAGTAAAAAGGTGAACGTCGAGCTCACTCGAGGTAATGTTTCAACTTATTTCTCCATCATAACTTTATCGATTTTTCCAAACTAAACAATTTTGTATAGCTGAATATATCTGGTTTTAGAGAAGTATATGCTTTATTATAAAAATTGAATACTTATTTTTGAATGTGCGATAAATTGTAGCGTATTTGTTGATATTTGCGAACGATGTTGATATTTACCACTATATTAAGCTAAAAATGTTCACCCATCAAGTCGAGCTGCTTTTACAGCCTTTTACTTTCGTTTTCGATATATTAAGGGGCTATTTTTCCGGCGAACGCTGTACAACAGAGTATAAACAAAAATGGAGCGGACACACTGTTTTGCTGTATGTGAAATTAAGTCTTTTTAAATTTATTTAAGTTACTTTTTAAATTTCTTTCTGATTACCCATTTCGCCAGTCGTTTCACTTTTGCCGTCAAAGTTTGTTGTGAAAGTTTCTACAGCATAAATATACGAGTCGTTTTCTAATGTTGTATTTTGCACGATATTTTCGCGGTCATGTGTTAATACTTCCGATTTAATTGTCGATGAATATGTATACGCATGCGCAGAGAGGGTCGTTGTTAGCATGTCATTCTTTCCTTCGCTCAGCTGTCTTGAAATATTTTTCTTTAAGAAGTATTGTTCTCGTGTGGTAAAATGTCTAGCCGGCGCAGCAGTAACTTTTTCAATCTTTGATGACGTCATGTTATTTTGAAGTAAAGATACAACGTTCGTTGATGAAAAGAATTTTGTTTTTGTAGTGTGTTCGGTTGTTACAGGTTTCATCGTGTTTATGAAATTGGTTGTGGTAGTTAACTTGCCAATAACATGTTTTTCTGTTGCTTTCACATTTGCTGAAAAAAACGAACGGATTTTTTCTTTATACAGTAAACACCCTCAAGACCATCAAGTTGCAACGCTTTTCACACAAATAACGCTATGATTAGCATAAAAATACGATTTTCAATTTATTTCTGAGTACACTTCTTAATTATCGTTTGCATATGTTTCTATTTTAAGTGCCACGGCTGAACTATACAGGAACTATGTAGAAAATATTTATGTTTTTAGACTTTTGGACCGCAGTGGAGTTCCTTTAATTTGCAAAATATTTCAAAATGTCCGAAAACGAAATTATCGCACGTGTATACACTTATAGTAACCAATTGTCATGATATCGATAAGGTATCAAAGTACTTGAAATATCTCTCAATTTAATCAACACAACTGAACATATTATACAAAAAGACTACAAATCTACTTGAAAGATTGGTCAATAACAACACCAATTTTTGAACTTCTCTTTCAATAACAATACAAACACTTGACTTATCAGTGAAATGCCATCTACAGTTAATTTAATATTGACGTATTACTACACAAGTAGGGAATATTCATTGTTAGTATAATGATATCAAGCAACCATCAAAAACAATTCAAACGGAAAAACAGTTTGAAGGTAGTCTTGACCGCATTACAGTTGACCTCAGGCTTGGGTGAATTCACTTTTATCTTTTTCTTTTAACATCTGGAAACAGTTAATTTAAATGAGCATTGACTTTCTTTTCTAAACTTGCAGGGTCGTAAACAGCCAAAAACGGTTAACTTACTGTCGCTCGTCTGTATTTTATAGACAACGTTCTTGTCCATTGCCTCATCATTTAGTTTTTAGTTCGATGATAATTTAATGAAATGTCAAAATATTATAGAAAATTCCATCATGTATATTACATTTTCATCAAAAAAGGCAAACTACATAAATGAAAGAAAGAAAGAAAGAAAGAAAGAAAGAAAGAAAGAAAAGTAAAGAAAAGAAGAAAGAAAGAAAGAAAGAAAGAAAGAAAGAAAAGAAAGTAAGAACGAAAAAGAAAGAAAGAAAGAAAGAAATAAAGAAAGAAAGAAAAGAAAGAAATAAAGAAAGAAAGAAAGAAAGAGGGAAAGAAAGAAAGAAAATAAATAAAAAAATAAATAAAACAAAAGAGAGACCTACCTTGTGTTTTGATCCCTATACAAAAGCCTTTAAATTCATTTTGACTGTCAGTTACTAATGTTACAGTGAAATTACGAGCGTTTGTTTGGATTGTTTTTGGAGTCTTCATCGTAGAGCATTCATGCTCAATGTTTTCTTTCAAGGAAAACGTTACGTAATCGTTGCTACAAAATGACGTATCTTCAAGTTGAAAATCGAGATACGTTATTGACATTGATGACGTCACGTGACTGTCTGACGTTATAAACCACGTGCATATGATGTTGCTAGGATAAGAATTCGGGTATCCAGGCGAGGTAATGTTTACGTTGTCAGTTTCTTTAAGAGTGATGCGACGGAGACAAGCTGAAAAAAATAAATGAAAACAATACGTTATTGTGTTGACGACAAAATATCAAAACAAGTATCAAAACATTATAACTGTTTTACAGTAAAAGTAAACTTAAGTACGTAGTTTTATATCAGCAGGGAAGAAAAGATTTGATAGTACAAGTTGACCTATATGTGTACTTACGTGCTCTTGCAATTAACTTTTTTGAAACAGTTCCTTCTACTGTCCCAATAACAGCGCTGAGGTATATTTCTACGAGCTTCCCTTCAAATTTATTTGTATTTATTGCAAATTGACGCATGTTGTGCCCAACTGTTACCAAAAAGCGGCTTATACGGGAGACAACCCTGTAAGCGATACAGTAAGAAGTAATATCCAAAGTATTCTCCCTTGGTGCTCGCCACGTGATCAAAATCGCATGGTCCGATGTCCTAAGTTGTACATTTGTCGGCGGGCCAGGTAACAAAACAACACTTTTAAACATTATTCGAAATCCTTTTATTCCTACTAGTTTTCCGGTTCTTAGTATCAAATGCACCGCCCGTAAATCAGTCCGTACGAGTTTGTTTGTATTTGTGTTATTACATAAGCGTCCAATTCCGCTTATTTCAATATAGTTGTTAGAGCACTCTTCCGGAAAGTTTTCGGTCATATCTATTTCGTTAAACGTTATTTCCAAAGAATATTTAGGAATTGTCGTTATATTCCAGGAACATAAAACGCCAGGACGTAGTGAATCGCCTTGTTGTGCTCCAGGGGAAGTTACTGTGATATTGTGTCCAGGAAACAAACTATAGTCCCGCCCACATTCTGCAACGAAAGCATTGAATATTCATCCGTTAGATAAAAAAATCTTAAGATGTAAAAAGTCCGAAATGAAATATTTCAAAGCAAGTGATTAGTTTAGTTTTTTAAAGAAAGGGAAACGAAAAGATAACGCATTTGTAAAGAATGACTTAAATACAAGTAGATCTCCTCGTATATACCGATTATTGCACGAGATATGTTCTTGTTATAAAATATATCCATATTTCAATAAAATCTAATATTGAACGTATTGGTCTTACTTATTCGAACATATTTTGGTAATGAAAATGGCCCGATCCCACCGGCATTTTCTGCACGGATTCTGATTCGAAACAAGCGTCCAGCTTGGCCACGTGCGGAAATAGTTGACATTGTGACGTCACCATCAACTATGCTCGAAATATCTGTGAAGTTTGGTAGGATAGCCAAGCTAACGATGTAACTTCGTATATTTCCGTAGGTTTCTGTGGGAGGTTCCCATTGGACACCGATATTGTTGACGTCAGAAACAACAGTCACGTGTTCAGGTCTTCCTGGTCGTGGTATAGCTGGAAAAGCAGATCTATATAACGATTCAGCGATATTTGTATGAACTACAAGTAATAGTTATAGTATATGAAACGAATTAGTTTCGAGGATATAACACTGGCTGGGGCGAAATCAAGGGATGTTTCTGCAAAAAAATGTCGAGGCCGTCTGGCCAAGACGATTTTTTTGCAGAAACTTCCCAAGATGTCGCCCCAGTCAGTGTTATATCCCCCGTAACTAACGGGATTCATATACTATGACTGTTTTATCGCAATTTCAAAAAAGTGTTTTGTAATAGTAATCAGCAAAAAATAAATAAAAATGAAACCCCCCAAAAAAATGAACCAATACCATCTTAAGCTTACTTTCAGCTTTTTATAATAAGGCAGTTGTTTGAAGGTGTTTTTGCTGTCGCAAAAAAGAAAAAAAGAAGATAATTGTGCAACCATTGTAAATTTAAAGAGACGGAGTGTAAACTTGTAAACTGATACTTTGTGGAGAAAGTAATATAAATTCAAGATTTAAGAACTTTTCAAGTGGAAATAATGTACTTTTTGATTTTTAGCGAATAAATTGTATTTCATTGAATTATTCCGAATGTTCGTTATCGATGTCCCTTTGGAGCCTATGTGAAAAAAAAAAAGCTCAACCGACTCATACCTTTATGAATCAATGAAAAAACTATACTGCTATATATCAATACAGTTTTCAAACGCTCATTGAAAGTGTACTGAGAATAATGGGTTAGTAAGAACAAAGGAAAAGTTCCAAACCATGCGATAATTACGGCATAATTGGCTTCAATATACATAAAGATAGATAGAAAATAATGCGTGTTAAAAGAAGATAATTAGGCAGTATAACAAGTATGTTCATTTCATTTTCGCTTATCAACGAATGTAAATAAGCTGGGACACAAGACTTTTTTAAGTCCCAGAAAAATTTTTTTTTCCTTTTTACACCGAATTGTCTGGAAAAACGAATTATCGTAACCCGATATATTATTGGAATTTCCCGAAGTAACCCAATTTATTATATTCCTATAAATTAGATATTTAGAAATACTGATGAAATAAAATGCGTATTTTCATTTTTCCGTAACAAATAACAACAAATAACAAAACGACAACAGCAGCAGCAGCAGCAGCAGCAGCAGCAACAACAACAAACAAGCAAAGCAAAACAAACGATAAACAAAATAATAATAGTAATAAATTAAAAAAAACCAACCACCCACACTAATTTGACATAATACATCATTTAGTCATATTTTTTTCTTGATTATTAAACGAATGAGTCACTTTTTGCGGTTGCAATTTTATTTCTGTTTCCAGATGTAATGATCACTTACCTTGGTTTACAGAGAGCAGGATCATGACTGGCAAAATATATCGATTTATAACAACTGTCATCATGTATTAGTCAAACAATGAATAAGCATTTTAACTAGTAAATTTCTTTCAAATTCTTCGCAATAAATCCCTTTATCTGACTGAAAAACAAATCTCGTAAACTTTTCGTTATTTAATTCCTTCGATATTATTTCCTTTCCGTTTTATTGTTGCTAAATAACAGTTTTCGTGTAAGTCTTTCATAATTTTATAAATGATCTCGTTTATAATGAATGTTTTCTACCAAAGAAATTCGAATAAAGGAAACCTAAAAAACAAAAATAATTATTAATCACGAATCCAGTCAAAACAGAGTGTTTTTAATTTTTGGTTGATTTTAAAATATTTTCCACAACTATTTGAAATATCCAATAATTCAAAAGCGTGTATCCTCAAAAACCATTTTTGCAAATAATCACAGATTTTTTTTTTAAATTTTGATTATCAACTTTACGTAAAATGTAAACAATAACTGTTTTTAGTTCTTTTAAATGCTATCTAAATATGTTTTAGTTTTATTTGTCACTTTTCACATAATTATATATTATGAAAATGTTATCGTTAGTCCTCGGCATAATTTTAATACTTTTCCTGTATTAATTTGATACTAAAGTAACATACACGTTGATGTTAAAAGGCAAATTTTCGTCTTCTTATATAATTTTACACATATGAGACTTATAAGTTACTTTTTCCTTTATTTCTGTTTATAAATATATATTTTTACTTCAGTGTTAAACAACATTAGCCTTATACTGTTTGCTATTATTGAAAGATAACACTCAAAAGTTAACTTTCAAAATTCCGCACCTGTTTTAAGTTATCACAGAGGGAGATAACCTCCACTTTTTAGAGTGAAAGTAAACACTTTAGTGGTGTAACTGTCGATAAGGGAGATAACCGCCTTTTTCTTTACAAATAAAAGTATACGCTTTAGTGGCATAACTGTAGATAAGGGAGATAATCCCTTCCTCAATATTAATACAATTAATGGCGTTATTCTAGATAAGGGAGATAACTTGCGTGGTCAAGGTTAGACCAACGAAAATACCTGACACCGGCAATAATTGAATATTTTTGCAGATTATGAAGAATAGAACAAAAACATAAATGGACACCATTCATATCATTAAAGGGCAATGACTTGCTTGATAAAAGAAATCATGAAATATGTTTCATTTTTTCAAAAAATATCTGATAAGGTAAAGTAAACCATTTTCTTATTTAATCAAAATGTTAAATAAAACCAAAACACAGTTCACAATGTCACGCCGAAATCCGTTTAATCCATTCATTTTATGTTCATAAAAATTGGGGTGATTGTAACAAGTTTATGACAAAATTTTGAACTGGGAAATTAGGGGAGGGGCTGGAATGTCCGCATACCCGTATAAACGCCGTATATTAAAGGAACTCCACTGAGGTCCAATAGCCTTAAATGATTAATTTTGAAAATCTTTCTTAAATCACGGTATGAAATTGATAATCGATTTTTATGCGATTTTTGGCCAATGTGTTGAGTGAAAGCGTTTAAACGGTTTTCATTTATTGGGCCAATTTGCACAATAAAATTGATTATTTCATGGAAAAGGAGTGAGCGAATGATCTGAAATTTTTTACATGAGTTATTAGTCTAGACATACATCTAGTTATATAAAACTCTTGAAAAGAAAGTTTCGGTCCCTTCACGTCAAAAAAACCCTCAGTGAAGTCCCTTTAATTTTTGCTTATCAAATAAATTTACTAAATAGAAAAATTGGATAACGCTAAATTTTTAATATTTTGACCCCAGTTTGGTATTTTTTGTAATATACGTAAATGTATATATTTATATCTATTATATATTAGTTAAGTATTATTTTTATCAGAAACTCTTATGGGATGTTCGCTTTCAAAGACTTTTACAATTAGTGACTTCATTTCTGGAGCCAACAGAAACACAAATTATTCCATTCTATTGGAAAAAAACTGGATCTTTTCAATACACTATGTAAAACCCTATTTACACCGAACCTTGGTTAGTAAAGGCTCATACTATTCAATTGGAGAAGTGATGGATCGAGCCCGTGAAGAGTGTAACCAGTGTGAAATAAACTTTACCCTGCTGCCGGAAACCGAATCTACACATTTAACCAGGGCAGGTATCGACTATACGGCACATCAGTGCAGTCTCATCATGGTCTGCACGGTTCACTATTCTGACTAATTATGAAATGTTCCCTAAAATGATAAATGGTTTTATCTTGATTGAAAGATGGACAAGTCCTTTTAAGAAATCTTGTATGGTCGGGGTTAAAAGATCCTATATATACATACATGTTTACTGTTACTATTTCATAAACAAATGATGCATTGTTAATGATAAAACGAGTGCGCATGCGTATCCCAATCATTTTCATTACGTCATCATTATAAATTCATAAATTCATCTAAAATATTGAAAAGAACAATAGCGCATATAATCCCGTATCAGTAATTAAATCATATACTATATACATGAAAGGTAAGCTTACGTGTTCAAGAGAAACTGTTTCTCGTAAAAATGACGGTTTTATGGCTTCCACGAAGCAATTATATACTAAATAAAGATGTCCGCTAGTGTACGACAGGCGTGAAATTAAACGTGGCCCAGTAACGTCCGAGCGCTTTAATTTATTGCTCCCGATAATTAAAACGTCCGCAACATATAATTAACGTTTGTTGACTGTACAGTATACGTATGATATTATACCTTCGTTAGTTAATCACTTACCAAATTGGACAAAGAAAATTTTTTTTAAAGGGAATTGGAGTTGCAAGAATAAATATAAAAGGTCAAAATGTACAAAATTAGCCCTTACTACGTCATTCACTCAATAGAAATATGATGATAAATATTGCAGAAATCAGTCATTTAATAGCAAATAACAAGTACATTTTTACTTGAATCTTGCTTTTTTTGGTAACTGTTCTGAAAATCTTACTACTTTTTTCTCAAGTTTGATTTTCTTGAAATGTTTTGACTCATGTGGTGGCATGCAACTTTAAATACATGTACACGATTTGAAGGAACGAGTGCAAAAGGCATATTTGCGACGATCCGCTCTTAGGACCTTGTCAGGCAAAAAATTTGTCTGTCGCGTACAAAATATGTGAAAAATGACTGAATTAATGTAAAGTACTTATTATTTAAGTATTATCCCAATTCCCACTGCACCATTTCTATCATTTCTATTGCTGACTGACTTGTAATAAACAGCCCAATAGTATTATTTATAGTATTTATAAAAAAATCATATACAAAAAACACATTTCGATAGCCTCAGACAAAGCGTCTGGTCAAACGTTTTTGGGAGCTCTACACATTGTTGTAAAAACACACACACATAAAAGCAAAATCAGCAAAAATACCCCCCCCCCCAATAAAAAAATCCACCCCCGAAAAAAAAACAAGCAAACAAACAAACAAACAACAACATATAAACCCCATAAAACAAACATTTTCTTGAAAACTTTAAGATTGCTCAAAGTCTTTTTTCTACATATTTTCATTTTTCTATACATATACATATGTTTTTTTTTCTAGTTCAAGACAAAATATACGCTATGTACAGTACATTGTTGATAATCTATGTGTAATTTAAACCGATCAAGGCATGATTTTAATGGTATACTCTTGCCATAAGTACATTTATTATTACATTTCAGAAAAAGCCCACGACAGAAAATCATTAAAGCTAAGATTGACAGATAAAATAGTTTTCAATGCATTTTAAAGGCACATTATGTTTCAGAAAAGAATATATGTCTTCTTTTTCAAGAAGGGCAAACATGAGTTTTATAGCGATCATAAAGTAATGGTATAAGAGCATGTTTAGAAACCTATCACCTGAAGAAAGCAGCGCAGAATATTAAATTATTTGTTATTAAGGTAGCAAAATGTAAACAAAAAATATTTTTTACTTACTATATAACTTCAAGTGTAAAAATGGCCAAAAAGAAGCAGAAGCAAAGGAGTGTTCAGGTATTTGGCCAATGAGTTATTTTTTAGGGAACTATAACAGGGGCATTTAAAATAAAAAAAACTTTCGGGAAATAAAAATATAAGCATTTCGGAGGCATAATTTGCCTTTAATATTTAATTATGAAAAAATGTACATGTATAATAAAGTTGTTTTGTAATAAAATAAGTGTATCACCTTAGCACAATGAGGCATAATGCGCCTTTAATATTCAATTATTACAATATATACATGTATAATAATGCATTTATTGTAATAAAATAAGACGTATCACATTAGCACAAAGAAGAATGGGCAATATTATTTCATATTAACCATGTAATTGATGACCACGTGATAGGAGCGAGAATAACGTGTACACGAATTCACATTCATATTATTGTATGATAACGATTACTTCCTTAAAAAGTATATTAAAATAAAACAGTCATTTGGTAAGGCAAAAATGGACAGAATGCAAAAAAATATCGGTCATTAATGTCAATCACCGTAAATTATATTTATACAATATACTAAGCCGTTCATTTCTTTCATCTGGCAATGACCACAAAACTGTCATAGGATTTGTCAGCGAGGTAATTTCACGCGAACTGTGTCAGGTATAATTATCATTTATGATTGGTCGACTCGGTCACATGATTAACGGAAGAAAGGAAACACGTGACGTAAATCATCCAACATATTTTTTTCGCAACAATAGCCATAAAGTGACCGCTGGATTCTTTGTCTTTTCGCCCATGTTAGGAGAGAGTGTGTGAGATAGGGCCTAGTCTCAAATAAAAAATAATATTCAAGATGGCACCTTTTGGAATAATCATAGCTCTCCTAAGTTCTTTTGGTAGGTCTTTCGAAACATCATTATATATAAGAATATAAAGTTAGTGAAATAAAAGCTAAACAGTGCGTTAAGTATATCGGATTGTTATTCTAAACAAGGCAATTTGGATTTTGTTAATTTGTTTTTAAAGTTTTGAAGTGCTTATTTGGATTATTTAACTTTTTTTTTAAGTTCAAAGTAAAAAGGAATTGATTTGAGGTATACGTAAGAGAATTACAACCGTTAAGTACTACGCAATAGTTAAGTCTCTTTTTCTATTTCTGATTCTTCCTGAAGCGTTCATCGCTTTTCGAAGCTTTTTAGAAATTAGTAGAACGTTGCAGAGAACGTGTATCAGCATTAAAATAATACAATGAAATACAAATAACTATACTGCAAAAATAAAGATTTGAATTTTACACCAAGTCAGACATCTGCTGTAATAAAAACTTCTACGATTCTAATCATATCTTGGAAATGAAGTTCTTTGTAAACTGAATAATATATAACATGATTATATGTAGCATTGGTAAATATGGTAGTTATTGTATATTGGTCATAACACCTTCAATACATTATATGTTTGTTACTGTTATATAAATTCATATGTTTTATATGCACAAATATAATGTACGGTATAGAGTTGGATGCCCTCGACCTGTATATACCTATTGACGAGGGAAATAATGAACATGAAAAAAAATATCTTGGAAGTGGAATTCTGTTTCAACTGTATTCGTATTACATAATTTACACACACGCTTCTCACGCAACATATCGATATTTAAATATTGCATTTACTAAGAAGATACAAATATATTTTATGAGTTCAAAGGCACGCCAGAAAACATTTTATTATTCAAACTCCGATGTTACGTAATGACACGTTTTTATTGTAGTTAGTATATCTAAAGAAATTTTTCAAATTTCCGTGTTAATTTTCCATTTTGTTATCAAATATGACAAAAATATGGGGATTACTTATTAACAGATAAATGGTTCTAATGTTTGCTCATTCTTTAGCTGCTATTGATTGCAAGTTTTATATACATTTTTTTTTCTTTTCTTCACATCTCTATTTTGATACCTTTCGGAGCGTCGAGGATAACGGGACTCAAAAGTCACTGTTCATAAGAGAATGGGTACATTCATTTAACTTAGACTGTCAGGCCCTTGTAAGAATCACTTTAAAGGTTTTGAATATAGATTTTTTTCTTTAAACAGGTCTAGGTTTTCATGATATTTACAGACAGTCTGTAAATTTATGGACCATCTATAATTTTACAGGTTTTTCTATCTGTAAATTTATAGACAATAAATGCGAAAATAGTATAAGTTGTATTAAAATTAAAAACCGCAAGTTAATAAGAATAAATTTACTGATTATATGATTAAATGTAACAGTATGATAAGATTCAGAACAATTTGATGACTTTCAATTTTCACTTTTAACAAAAATTTCAAAGTCATCATACAAAGATGAAACTTATCTCATTACCTTTCTTAATAGAAACAATCAATATAACAACTTGTTTTAAGCTGCGAATTTTAGTATAAAACTAAAAACTGCAAATTTAACATTGAGGATCTGTAAATTTATGGACTGAAAAATCTTTGAATTTATAGACTATCCATAAACTCACTGACAGTCCATAAATATCATGAAATCCTAGACCTGTTAAACACATCTGCTGACCCTCGGACATTCACAACATTGAAATACTTGTATTGGGAATTAAAACAATATAAACGAAAATTTTCATGTATGATGATTTGTTTTTGCATACTGTAATCATTTATAATTCATTTATTTCATCAAAGTTAGACCTCACTGCTAATGTTGTAAGACTTTATGGGTCATACTTTTGGCTTAACAATCTTATACAACTAAATGTAAACATCTTTTTTATATACAATGTATACATAAATATACGTATACATTACTACCTGTACATAGCAACCCCATTTGGTAGGCAAATACTTCTGTTGTAGCTGAGAGCATCATTTTGGCTAAACAATCGATTTATATAACTTACTGTTAAAGTATTCTTTATATAAAGAATATAAATGAATACGTATACATTTTAACCTCTGCATAGCAACCACCCTTTGGGAGGCAAAGACTGTGATTGTTGCTGAAAGGTATTGCTGTAGAGACGTTTAACCTTTCTCTTGGAAAAAAGTGTTACTGTAGTTTAAGGGTGTGGCTATAGAGGGTCGCTCTTTAGAAGTTGTACTGTATTCCTAAAAATAATGATATAAAACCTTTTTTTCTATTATTATAAACTTTTAATAGAAAGAACATCGAAACACGAGGCTATCTGTTTAGTTCGAGACAGGCGTAGCCAACTGTTTTAATGTTCTTTCTCTTTCGTATCAAAGACAAAAATTAAAAACACGTTCCCTGTCGTCATAATATGAAACCCCAGAAAATCGTCACAATATTTTTTATGTAACTCCATGAAAATGTAACCAATCAAAGAGCAGGCCCTATATTTATCCCCGAGAAACAGTGCTGTAAATGGAGTGCGGGTAACTAATATTTACACTCCAGTTAACGTACTGTGCTTTTATGGGTATACGATTTAATCGTGACACAATTTCAACAGAAAGTTCTCCAAACTATGATACAATTATCATTATTGAAATACGATGATTAAATCAGAAGCATTGAACATGTTCTATGACATACAGGGTTCTAATTAATAGTTCTCTCTCATCAAATGTATATTCTTTTATCTTACAATGTTAGTGAAAAAGCTTTTACAACAACGTATTATTATTTAACCGGTACAGTTGGCCTAGTGGTTAAGGCGTCCGCTTTTTGATATCTCGTCCACGGGGGATGAATGTTTCTCTTGGGATTCGTTCCGAAATGATCGACCGCTTCGTGAGCCGCGAGGTAGTTAAATGAATGGTTACCGATTTCTATCCGCCTGGCATAGTGGTAGGAGTTGGGAGGTACATGCAAGCAAAAGGTGTGAAGTCAGAAATGGCTGGTCATTTAAGTAGGGGTGACACTATAATAAGCAAGACCTTTTATTTTGTTAATGATATTTATTATACTTTTTTCAATTAACTATGAATTATTAGGATAAAATGTATTAATCAACTGAGCCGGGGGCATTTTGACATATTTTGAAATGTAACGTTCGATGCCACCATGCCACGTGATTCCTGACGTCATTTCAAGCTATTTAAACCAATACTTTAATAGGTTTTTAAAGATATTTGAACTTTATTCTCTTTTTTGTCCCTGTCTTTTGTCCTTATTCTAATAATTCAAATAAACAATATGAATTAGGATATAACATCTAGTGCAGGTTTTAACAACAATCAAGTTCAGTTTGGATTATATATTTGATAAAATATACACTGTTTAATGTTACACATTTGTGCCAATTTTTGTACATTATAATAATTCGTTCAACTCGAGGCTACATTGTAGGCAAAAATCATTTGCTGCCTTAAAGGGACTCCACTGAGGTTTTTTGACATGATGGGACTGAAAATATTTTTTCCAGATAAATGTACCATGTAGGTTTAGACCAAGAATCTTTGTGCAAAATATCATATCATTCGCGCACTTCGTTTTTCCAGAATACTTATTCAAATTGTAAAAAATGACCCAAAATGAAAAGCGTTTAAACGCTTTTCACTCAAACCGGGCAAAGAAAGGCATAAAAATACGATTTTTCATTTTATTTTGAAGTATATTCCTTAACTATCTTTGCATATATTTCTGTTTAAAGTGCCCCAGCTCATTCATGTAAGAAATTCAAATGTTATGTTTTTGGGCTTTTAAACCTCAGTGGAGTCCCTTTAAGTTCATTATTTATTGATGAAACAAATTGTACACTATGCGGACAAATCGATATTGAGCATGAATTTCATTATATTTTGTAATCTATTTTGAAGATTTAAGTAGTAAGAAATAAAACATTGGGAGAATTCATTTTATTAAATTAGATAAAAACCAACATGTTTACTGTTCAAATCTTGTTGAATGAAACTTTTATGATCAAAAACACCCCGAATAAGTTGTAGTTTTGGTATATGACTGAAATAGGATAGGGCAAATAATTATGACAAAATTATAACAAACTAAACCTATTAATTATCTTATAATTGTGTATTTTTTCTACTTTTATCACAAAACTATTTTTTTTAAATATATCTAAATTGATTACTTATACATATATTTTAAACGTCATACTTGTGATGCATTACACATAATGAGGTCACGCTTCAATTATAGTTATTGCTCACAATATTTCTCATTACATTTTACGAGTATTTGCGCAAGTTTGGACATTTGTTTATAGTAATATTTGCCTTCTTCACACAAACGTATACATAATTTATATCGATTGCCCGGAGAACACGAAACATTCGGTTAGTGATAAGTAACATAATTACGTACACTTATATATTAGTATATATACACACAAATGTTTTTGTCATGATATATACGATACGTAAAGTCATCAATAAAATGATATCTTTATTGCTATTACCTGACATAAGAACGTGACCAGTTAATTCGCGACACTCATGGACACCAAATATCGAACACAATTATCTTAAAAGGACACTACGTCGTATGAATGCTATCTATTTCCAATTACAAACCACCATGATGTCATTGTGAACTGTAATTTGTAATCATTCTACGATACTAACAACGATACCGGAAAAATGTAACAACACTGTCGAAGTTTCAATTGTTTGCTTTTCTCTAGCCCTGTGACATTTGACACCCAAAGGTTGGCCGTGTTGTAAAAGGATCCCGATCAATCTGCTCCAATAACAAAGTTGAAGACGAATTTCATTATTACTGGGTCAAAAATTATTCAGTTATCATTGGAAAGCATTTATAAGCGACCGGATAGCTCAATCAGTCTTCAGTTGGGCTATGGCACGATATTCAGAGGGTTCCGAATTCGAGTCTTAATCATGTTGAACCATTCTTTCACCGTGTGTCTCATGCAAATGTATTAAAGTACTAGTATATGAAATATTGATGAAAAAAAAGATATCTGGAAACAAAGTGATCCCTCGGAAGTATTAATCACAACAAAATAACATAAGAATTGCAGACTCGGTTTGATTGAGTCTGTACATGAGGGAACTCAGATTACAAAGATCGAGAGTGGTGGTCAAAAAGTCAATGTGTCTGCTTCAACTCCGACACCATGGGTTTGAGCCAAACTTGGGCCACCACCATGTTTCCCTGTGCTACATCAATTGAGCTAAATTACAGTCAGGACCAGGAATTGGTCAAGATAAAATATTTTGTATTTTAAAAAAGATTTGTTTAGAAACACATCTACGAAAGTCAAGCGATGCTATATACGTCAACTTCGAACTAGAAAAAGAAATATATCCAATATAGATAAAGAAGGAGAAAATTCGGGACTTTCAAAATTTCATCGAGATAACGAAATATCGAGAAAAGCGATATCGATATAACCATAGTTGACTGTATATGGATATGGAAAAAATATTGTCCAAAATTTAACTTGTTGTTCAGAATGATATGTTTTCTTGCTTATTTCTATATATGAGGTCATAAATGTACACGTACATACCTTAGATATTATCAATAAAGAAAATCGACTAAGTGAAAACAAGGGGCTATCTGATTTGTATGAGGAGCATAGCCCCCGAGTAATCAGATTGCCGAGTGTTTTGATGCTCTTTCTCTTCTGTATCATAGGCAAAAATATAAACACGACATTTCTATCGTTTTTAAAAGTGATATGCAGTAAAAGCAATTATTGTTAAGAAAACAAACCTATATACAACGAAAAAATTAATGCATGACATAAATAATAACTACCGCAGACATTGAAAGCAAATCATTTTTCTGGAGTTTACCTTATGTTTCATCAAAAGGTAAAGTGCCTTGTTTATCTACGAAACATATACATCAAATTTTGAGTCGTTGAATAACAAATGTTTCACAATTATATTGTAATGAAACAATAATAACGTTGATAAAAATGTTAATTTGTTTTCAATATTAAGTAATTACTAGTATAATTAAAGTCTTTGTGCTCTTTTTAGAGTATTTCCTTGAAAAAATGTAAATTTTATCAATAAAAATTAGTTCATAAGTCACTTAGTATTTAAACTATGTCATTTATTGATAAATATACACACGTAAATGGCGGACTGTTATCATTTTCTTTAATTAACAAACAAATAGCGGCTGTTTATTTAGACATAAGGTACTTATTATAAGTCCTGATGATATATCATTGTTTATATATAAAAATGTCATAATTGATTAAATTATTGACCTAGGAACAAATAAAAATGTCAGAAATTATATCAATATAAATACATAATAAACAAAATCCCGTGAAACGATAAGACTGTAACAAATGAAGTTCTTGTTTTAAAAGAAGCGTAAATAATTCGTCCGTTTTCAAGGTGTTGGCACATTTCATTTTGATTGAATTTGAAACGTTTTAATATTGTTTGAAAGTTGTTCTAGGGTGGAGTCAATTAATGAAGTTAAAGCAGAAATTTGTGAAAGTCTCAACAACAACAAAATGTACTGCAAAGTTGAAAAACAGGCCCGTGTTCACAAAGATTTAAGGATCAAGATCAGATTTAAAAGCTCTAATATTCTTCATTGTTTATTCTAATACTAGTAGATTAAATATCGATATTAGTTTGATAAAACTGGACTTGAATAGCAAGTTTATGGTATTTTAGAATACATTTATTGATTTTTATCAAGATACGGGCATTTAACAGTTGATCAAAATATTGATCCTGATCCTAAAATTGATCTCTTTTTTTTGATCCGAATATTTGTTTTGCTATTTGTTGATTTTATCCCAAAATAGTTTGGTTTCTTTGCAACTCAGCAATTTGTTACATTTTGAATATCTACCATTTAGTTCTAGCAAAACACGATTAATTATAGTAACATAAAATAATGAAAATAAAATCAGGCTCACTTGATCCTGATCTTTTGTTAGTCAACACGGGACCAAAACACAAAAATATAACAAAACTAAATCGTTGACCCATTGACATCTCAACCCAGGGAGCAAATGTTCGAGCTCTACTGGGGCCACGACCATGTTCCCACATATGACATCAGTTTAAAACATATTTATTTACGCTCGATTGCGAAATAAGTTCTTTCAACTTATATTAATCAGTTTCGAGCCCGTTTCTTGGAACCAACCAGTACTGATTGTTCGTTCCTAAACCATTATAAATGCTCGTTGTTTTAATAAAAAATATATTTTATGTTTCAGTTTTATACACAGAATCAACAATTTGTAAGTATATTCTATAGCTGATATTCTTCTTAAATTGGACAAACTTTATTTTAAATAATATTTTACACTTAATAAATTGATCGCCGATTTGATTTCTTTGAAATAAAAACTTCAGCTATTTTTAACATATTACAATAGGCCCATAATGTCTCAAAATTGGATTTATTTCTCTATTTTTTGGTTTGAAAAGTTTCTCATTGGTCATTTACATGAACCATCTTTTGCTTCAATTACTATTTGGCAATAAGTACAGTCAAAGTGCTTAAGTATTTGGCATTGAAGTCAAAATACTTTAATATTTGTTTACATTTTACATTCATAACAAATAACTTCACAATTATTTCTACTCTTTTAAAATCTACCTTTAAAATGCTTGCTTTCGTGCATCAAATATTTCAATAGTACATTTTTTCTTTAAAATTTTGATATTCTCAAATTTCTCCATTTTTTTATTCCTTATTTTCATTACTTAATATATCAGTAATGATATAGTTGAGTTCTGCATGACTTTATTTACTTAGAATTTTATTACCTTAAACTTTAATTGTGTTACCTGTCTACTTTTAAACACAACAGTATCTGTTCCGAAATTTGGTGTAAATTTGTTCAGTCATTCGATAATAATTGCCAACATGTTACACTTTTCTTTTGCGTTCTTTTGATCTTTTTTCTGTATCTTTCAGTACAACATAAGAAACATTATTATCCATCTAAATTTTCAAAGGGAGGACATTTTTGTGAGTAAACCGTATTAGTACATAACTACAGCTGCCACTTGGCTTTTTTTGTTTTTAGTCTTCTGATAAAGTAAACCAATCAACATATAAATTACTAGTGTCCTATAGAGTATGAAGGTTGATATAAGACTGTTCTTAAATAGTCGTGTTAAAGCGTGCTGATTGTAGCTCCAGCTAGAATTCCAACATTTTTGCACTAAAATAGTATTTTTTTATGGAGGAAGACCACAGGTGTCCACTCGGTGCATCAATTCAGTAGAACCACTGGCCTTCCATAAGCTCGTCGGATAGCTTTTTTACATAAAAGAGTTCAAAGCCCTTGGCGGAATTTGAACCCATAGTGGCGATGATCAAGTGGTCTGTGTTCAACGACCTTCATCACTCAGCCATTAAAGTGTGACGTTTGGAAAGGCAATGGCATCCTTAATATCAAATCATGTTTATGTGGTAGAAATATTTGTGTAATATCGGAAGGTATATATTTTAGAATATATATTAAAACTAACTGCTTTTTGCGTACAGAGCAATTTGAACCATATGTGCTTTATATTTATTTATTTGTGTTTTTAAAGCTTGTATTTATGGACTTTATTTTGCAGCCGGTGGTTTTAAAGGAGGATTTGGAAAATACAGCCAAGGTTACTATGACAAACTTATAAATTATCTATCTTATTTAACAATGAAATCAAAACCTGAGTAACTAAATTCACAAAGAAAAATCACATTTAGATAAAATTGAATATTGCTCAACAGTGGCGGGAGTACATGTACGAGTATTAATTAGCCGCGTATAACACATAAACCATACTTGCAGTGTTTTTCTTTCTGTAAAATTATAGACGGGGGTGGGGTTAAATGAAAACTGTTTTTAATGAGTATGGTCAGAAAAGATTATGGAAATGGCAACAAATAAATTGAATGATTGATTGATTGATTGATTGACCGACTTATTTTTTAACTTTATTTTGTAGCCGGTGGATTTAAAGGAGGATATGGAAAATATAACCTAGGTATGTCACTACACCTTTTGTAATAATAAGTTACATTAGAAAAATAAAATGAAACAAACATCAAATCTTATACATGTATGTTGTGTGTGGGGGTATGGGGAGGGTGAGATTATTATGACCCTTGTGCACACCCCTAGAGCGTTTTGTTGATACCATACATATAAATTTTGATACACATATTGAATTTGTAATATACATAGAGGATATTGAATGTGTGTCAGTTCAATATTGTAGTCATAAATACTTTTTTTAAACTACAGTAGTTCATTTAATTTGTATACACAAACCGATTACACATTTAGTAATTTTGTTTATATATTATTGTACACCTCTTATCATATGTAAATATATCAATAAAAAACTAAAAAAACAACAACTGAGAATACTGAATTAATTGCAAGAGTTGAATAAAATTATATTATGCGAGCCTCTGGCGAGTGCAATAAGTTCAGTAATGAACTTATACGAATTAAATATTCTATTTATCACATACCCAAAATAAAGACCGTTTAGAGTGAAATAAAGAGTCATTTTTCATTGACGCGCCTATAGTATAACGCTAACATTACACTTTGTTTTTATAACGCTAGTGACGTCACGTCAAAATATATACACGGCCGTGCAATACCATATTTACGGAGTCGCAAAATCGGCACGGGTGTGTGATAAACATTATTTTTGTGATAAAAATATTGAATATATGACACAAATTCCAATTTTTTAAAATGCATATCAAATATTTAACATATTTTAAATACTTGATACACATATTGCAGTTTGGATACATGCATACAGATAAATTCTTTAAAATATAGTTTATATGTTTTATATTTGTATACATAATACAACCGAACAAATGTATAACAGTTTTTAATTGTGCTTCTAGTAAAAATGGATTTGACTGTTTCGTTAATTAAATTGAAAATATTTCATTTTTGCTTTTTTCAGGATTTCACAAAGGATGTGAGTAACTCTTTATCGATAGCTTCTAATTATTCATAGTACTTTAACCCATAACCGGCTTGAACCAAAATGTGATTCCCTTTTGCCGCTAGTATAGAGGCCGGATAGCCTGCATCTCTGTGCAATTTGACCAGTCTCTATAGCTATGCTTTTTGGAATTTTCATTTTTGTAAAGTGATCTTGAACATCTTTAGTAAATACGAATTTTAGTTCTATTGTGTTGAAAGGTATAAGTTTATTGTAACACTCTCGAATCCATTCCTGGAACTAAGCAGTACTAAGCAAATAGTGCAAAAATTCTTGCTCAAGGAAAGAAAGGCTTGCCCCTGACGGGGTTTGTACCCATGCGTTCAGCAATCCATAGATTATCAGTCCGACGCGTTACCACTCGGCAATGTTAACTTTAACTTTCCTGTTTCAAAACTGGTTATCTTAATTCTATGGTTTTCCGATTGATTTATATGATCATAAGGATTTTCCATTTTAAAATAGTCATAAAAGTAGCAATATGTTGTGATCTTGTTTTTTTCACATTGGGCAACATCGCCGGGTAGGTATACAAAAAAGTGTTAATTTGTTACTTATTCTGGATATCTGGATATGAATATCATTGTAATCAGTCCTTTAAGATTTGGCATAACTTTAGAAATGAACAAATTGTTGTACTAAACTAACAAGCAAAGCCTTTGAGCTTTTGTAAAACTTTGTTAAGATAGTTTTAAATTTGTTAACAATTTTCATATGTATGGGTATGTGTATGATTCTTTTTTAAGCTGGAGGAGGACATGGGGGATTTAACATAGGAAGTGGACATTACTACAAACCAGGTAATTATACATGTATATGTGTCATTTCTGTGAAGAAAAAAACAACGAAAAACAAAGCTGTTTAGCTTAGACAAATGTACGAAATAACTTAAAAAATAGCACGATTTTCTTGCGCCACAAAATATAAACCCTACTGTCTACATGATGAAAATATATTCGGCTTTTCACGTGCGTAAGAATCGGATTTCCGGTGCGCAGTAAATTAAAACTTCGAAGAACGCACTTGCCGGGAAGTTAGAATACATACATTTGAACTGCATTCTGCAAAATGTTATACAAACACGTTCTTGAAAACGCAACATTTATCTATGTATTCTTTAATTGAGCTATTTCAATTTAGTAAAAAGAACCTGTCGAAATGTTTATTTATCATTAAACAAGAGGGATGTTTAGTAATTTCGTGACTGAGTGGATTTTTGTTTATATACTAAGACATAAGAATAACTTTGCTTGTAAAAGCAGTCTGTAAACAAAAGATATCAAAATATTTCACAGAAATCACAAACATTAACAAGTTTATCAATCCAGTAGCTGTTATGTATCATGAAGCCTATGACGATGATATAAAACATATAAAATGAAAATTGATTTTTCCCTCTCTTTTTTCAGGGTTCCACAAAGGGCGTAAGTACCCCTTATTATTGCTAAATTAAATTTTATATAATATAGGAATCTAAAACATATCCTAGATATCTAATTTAAAGCATCGATAAATCTTTTAATTAAATATCTCTTTTTTGTTTATTGATTTAATGACAATATTTTCCTTTACGTTTTAATTTTATATGTTTCTATTTGTAACAAAATATTAATTCACTATCATTTCTTATATACAAGACATATTATTAATTCCTGCTGTATTCTTTTGTGTTTACGGTGTCGCAAAGGTCTAAAAATTAAAATCTTGAAATGCATTGGTTAACAAAATTTAATTTTTTCCTTCTGTGGGCCTAGTCCTATAAAATCTTTGAATTAATAATAATTATATATTTTTTGATAATTCCTTTTTAGACCAGGGCTACAATAAACATACGATGATCAAACCAGTGCCAGTTTATAAAACAGGTATGTTTTATTGTTCTACATATATTTAGTTTAACATTCAAACATCACCACTACCAACAACAACATCACTTCTACCAACAACAACACCAACACCACTACCACCACCACCAGCAACAACAACAAAAAAAAACAAAAAAGAAAAAACAATTGCAACAACCGCAGAAGCAACAGCAACAATAATAGCAGCTGGAGCAACAACAACAACAGTAGCATCAACATCGATTCCAACAACAACATCATCAACATTAACAGCAACAACAACAATAATAACAACAACAACAAAAACATTAATGATACTGATGTACAATTTTTTTTAGAAGAAATATACAAAATGTAAATAATAATGGTGTTTTATTTTTTTCCGCTCGGTTTGGTGCGGACAAAGAGCTCGAGTAATTTCAAGCATGAGGCGGGTGTCTGATAAAACTACTTTATATATATATCTTTTTTATAAAACTCTACAAAGATTAAAAATTATACACTTTTCGTGTACTATATTCATTTCAATACAAAAAGACAACCTATTTTGCATTGCATTTACTTTCCTTTTTTTCCATATTCAATAATACGCACTGACATTTTTTTTGTATTCCAGTATATGTCAACAAGAAAGGTAAGACGGATTTTCATACCGAACTTTCTTTATTTTATTTAGTCACATATGAAAGAATATAAAAAACAGATATTAAATAAAATGACTTTCGAAGATGATGATGGTATTTCATGAGATTTAGCCTTTTAAAACAGCTAAAAAGTGATAAAAACAGAAACAAACAAACAAACAAACAAACAAACAAACAAAAAGTAATTACAGAATATTTTCAGATACAGTACTGTAGTCAACATTTTACACGAAACAGAAAGTCTTTTTGATATGGTATTTTTCAAAGAGTTTATTCGTCAATGATTTAATATTCTACTGTTTTATTAATTTTTCATCTAACGTCTGTTTTTTTTTTATCTCCACAGTTCCAGTTTACAGAAAAATATACATTGACAAACCTGGTAAGTATATTTTTATTTTATTCAATGACATGGAAGGGAAAAAACCCTATGTTTTGTATAAAGTGAGCGAATAACAATGCAAATACACCAATAATTGAATAAAAAAGATCAATTTTAGAATCAAAATCAATATATCAATATTTTGATCAATTATAAAATGCCCATATCTAATAAAGTACGAGTAACAATTATATTAAGAAGAAATTTCATAAACATACCATTTTTCCGTTATTGATATTGAATATTTAAAGATTTAAAGGAACTCCACCGAGGTTCAAAAGCCTAGAAAACGCACATTGAATTTCTTACAAAGATCATCTGGGACACTTAAAACAGAAATTATTATATTCTTAACATGATTCATAAACATACTCGGTAATTAATTGAAAATCGTATCTTTTGTTATTCTCAGCACAATTTAAGTGAAAAGCGTTCCAACACGAGTAATTGGTCTATATCTTCATCAAATGGAACATTAATCTCGAAAACAAGAAACATTTTCCAGTCCCGCCAATTCAAAAAACTTCAGTGGAGTCCCTTTAATATTTGAGGATATATAATGGAGAATATTTGAGGTTTTTGTTATATTTAGATCTAAGCGAACAAAAGTACAAAATAAAAATAATTAGTATGCCATTATCAATATTTTATGACTGATAATTATCACGAGCTATGCGGAAAAAAATCAAACGCAGTTAAAGTTTAGACCACAATAACTCATGAGAATTATACGTATCAAAGAATATATTTATCATGCACAGTTATAAATCATCAAAGCTTTTCATGTGTCACGTGATCAGTTTTATTACAAAGGTTTATTAGTTAATTGCAAATTATACCATTCATAACTGGCATGATTCATATTAACGGATTTTTTGTGTATTTATTTATAATAATATATGGTTGAATAAATAGATAATAAATAATAGTATTTTAAAAGTAATTATTTATTTCATTCTTTCTATTACAGTGTACAGAAAAATATACAGAGACGGTATGCATTACTCAATACCCTTTTTTTTTGTAGAATTTTGACTCTTTCACATTAAAAAAAAAACAAACAAAAAAAAACAAACAAAAAAACAACAACAACAACAACTTGTATATAAAAACTTATTTAAAATAACGAATTCACCATGTAGCACTTATTTTATTTACTTAAAAAGGCATGCAATTAATGATTTTTTAAGTAAATATTGCGATTACTCACGTACAGTTTCCCAATTTGGTACCCACGGAGTTATATTTTTAATAATTATGTTATTGTTAATATAAGAATAACATTTTTATGTTTCCTAGTCAAAGTACCAGTAGGCCCAAGACCAAACCGTCTCAATCCAGGCGCATGGTTCCCAAAATCAGGACCGGGTCCCGTAGGCCCACAAGCACGTGGCGGAAGTGGTAAGTGTAATCTAATCTTGCGCATGCGTTGAATCTGTAAATAAATTTATTTTGATAATCGTTGATAATATATTTCTTGCATATCAGACAGAATTATCTACCGTTTACAACGATGCTAGAAAATCCTGTATTACACCCTATATAAGACATATCGCGGGACTATCTAGCTCTCGGGTAACTGTTTAGTGGAAACTTGGCACATCCTCGTTATCGCCGTGGACAGTTACCCTCGAGCTATATATTCCGGTCTGTACCGGCAGCCAGTCTGACTCCGGGTATCACGTGAAAAGTATCCACTTTCACTCATTTCCTGCATGACTTCGTCTATTTATAGGTCAGGTATCACGTGAAATGTATCCACTTTCACTCATTTCCTGCATGACTTCGTCTATTTATAGTTCAGGTATCACGTGGACCAGGATCAGGCGGTGCTGCAGGGCCAGACATAAACTTTGACGTCAATGCTTTCGGAGGAGCTGGAGGATTTGGAGGTCCTGGAGGGGCCGGAGGAGGTGGAATTGACCTTAATATTGATGTTACGGGTCCTGGAGGATTTGACCTAGGAGCAGGAGCAGGCGGTGGAGCAGGGGGAAACTTTGATCTGAATTTAGGACTACCGGACATAGGTTTGTAACTGATTACCACTAACCTATCGCATTTTGAGTAAATAATTTACTCATTTTTTCAAATTGTTTTAGAAATAATTTGATTGTGTGTGCATTGCAGAGGCTTTAATTAAAACATAATTTGAACAAAAAAGTTAATTAGTACAATGAGCTGCAAAAAATGCTATGTGTTTATGCATTTGATTCAAAAATAAAAAAAGCAAATAGGTTAAGCATATTTTTACAAGTAGTTTGTTCCACTCAGCAAGACAAAATCATGACGTAAATTTGATTTTTCATAAATTGTACGCGTAATTTCACGATATATCAACACTTATCATTGATATAACCTGGATATCTCCAAGCTTATTTAATGATCATACGTTACGGAAAAAAAAACGACATATGCCGTTATTTCCCGACAAATGTAGTCTTATTAATGATATTTCTTGAAATTGACGTTTGTTTCTTTTTACGATACCATCGAAAAACGAAAAGTAATAAACTTTGTCGATTTTTAACGATTGATGATATTCAATGTGATTTCAAAGTTTATATCATATACTGTTACGGAAAGTAACGAAGTTTTCTGGAAATTCACGAAATATGCAAATATTTCAGGGGGTGGAGGAATAGACTTGGGTTTAGACATTGGAGGCGGTATTGGTGGCGGATTAGATGGTGGTCTCCCAGGTATGGGTGACCTTGGACTCGGTATGGACCTTGGTGGTGGCGGGTTTGGTGATCTTGGTCTGGGAGGAGGTGGAGGAGGGCTCGACCTTGGCGTCGGAGGAGATCTTGGATTTGGTGGCGGTGGAGGTCTCGATCTTGGTGGCGGTGCCGGTCTCGGATTTGGTGATGGGGCTGGACTTGGAATGGCAGGAGTGCCTGGTCTTAGGGGTATGTTAATAATACCATAATTACATAGATCAAAATGAAAAGTATTAATGGCTATGAGTTTTGAAAGATAACTTTACATATGATACTACATGAAATTGGTCATTTCGGTTGCCACATTGATGAAATTAAAACTACACAATAATGCATGTATTTAATAAATCATTTACACATACAATCATAAATCAAAATCTGGGCAAAGTGTGAATCATCGGAAGCATTAATTACAACAAAGTAACAAGGAACTTGCAGACTCGGTTTGAATGTGTTTTTACATGAGGTGTAATGAAAGAAATGCAACTTGCCCAACGCTCCTTAGCACCGGGCTTGAGCGTACTCAGTGTTCAACACTTCAGAGTGTTGGAATCAATGATCCCAAAGAGCCAGAAAAATATATCAGCACTGAAATAAATCTCGGTATTCCTTGTATTATATACATTAACAAATATACAATGTAAAAAACACGCGTTCATAATTTCGGGGTTGATATTCATCCTTGTTTTTAACATACATTTGAGAGTTTTCTGATACCCAAAATCTTTTTTTTAATAATGAATGGAAAATAGAGAGACATAAAAAACAAATATCTTATTGGTATATCTATTGTAGAGTTCAGTGCTCCAGGACTTGCCAGTTTCCAACAGGCGCCTTCCGAAACAATAGTCAGTAAGTAAAATTACATATATTTGTCTCATCAAATCACAAATTTTGGATAAGCAGACCGGGTTAATGGTCTATAATTGCTATCTGAAACTCAACAAAAAAGGGATTTCCAAGCTTATTCCTCGGTACAAACAAACTAAAGTGTATTACCGTTATGGCTTTACAGTGCCAAGTCGTACGCAATAGATTTTTGGCTTTACGGTGCCTTGGGCCCCTGCAGTACTCAATAGAGTTTTGGCTTTACGGTGCCCTGTCGTACGCAATAGATTTTTGGCTTTACGGTGCCCTGCCGTACGCAATAGATTTTTGGCTTTACGGTGCCTGCCGTACGCAATAGAATTTTGGTTTTACGGTGCCTTGGGGCCCCTGCAGTACTCAATAGAGTTTTGGCTTTACGGTGCCCTGTCGTACGCAATAGATTTTTGGCTTTACGGTGCCCTGCCGTACGCAATAGATTTTTGGCTTTACGGTGCCTGCCGTACGCAATAGAATTTTGGTTTTACGGTGCCCTGCCGTACGCAATAGATTTTTGGCTTTACGGTGCCCTGCCGTACGCAATAGATTTGTAAGCGTGGCGAGCTTATTCTTGAAGTTGTAACTGTTAAAGTTTGTTTGTTCCCCGGATAAACTGGGAAAAAACCAAACAATGTTATATTGCTGATTGCCAATTAGTGAAACTGAAACAGTAATTGATGGATCCCTACTCTGAACTTTTATTTGAATAAAAATATATTTAACCACAAACATTGACATGCGCTTTTTTGTTAACAAATATGTTGTGATGAACTTGTAATTGTATCCATTTATCTGATAAAAAGAATTTGATAGGCCAGGAATTTAAATACAAGTTTGCCTACTCCTCTTATTGGAGGAATCTTCTAAAAAATATTAAAATCGAATTAAATGATATCGAAAGGGTAGAATATTTTTTGTATATGTACCACACACATACCATGTTTAACTTAGTTGTCTCTGTCATTTATTCTTAAATTATACCGTACTATGCAAGAGAAGAAAAAATTGTCAACTTTCAATTATAGCAAAGATCATTTTTTGGCAAAAAATCTTCGTAGCGTTAGGTTCTGTGCTTTTGTTTGATTTTAAATTTCGTTACTTTAAGCGTTTTTAAAGCATGGATTCGCTGTCTTTTATACAGCTGTAAAACAGTTATGATTAAATTTTTTTCAATTATATACAATTCACAACTATTTTACCTATCATGGTGCTTAAACTATATTATTTTTGTCACTTTCAGCTAACCAAATCCATATAAGTGAGTATTGTTTATATCTTTAAAAAATATACGTCATTCTGTTTTTTTGTTTAGTTTATGTTTTATTTCATTTAGCTTATTTTTCCCCAACTGATTGAATTCAAAGAAAAATGTATAAATATAAAATTGACCCGAACCTGTTTCGATATCATAATGTTTGCTTTTCGATATTAACACGTAAGAATGATTATGAATTTTTCTTATATCATTTTTTTTTTCAATTTCATATTAAAGATCTGTGTTGTCTTAAAGCATATACAATATATAAGTACAATATATATGGAATTCCTTTTGATTTTTTTTTAGAATTGTTATGCTTCGATTTACAAAACATTGTAAGACAAATACCACCTTTTGTTTCTATAAAAATGGCACATTCAAATAAATCCTTAATATGAGCTTTGTATCTTTTTTCAGCGGATACAGACCACGGTAAAGACGTTTTGTTTTGTTTTCTTTTTTTTTTTAAATAAAAGTCACGAAGTCTTAACTAAAATGTCAGAAATGCGTGTTAAATAGATAATTAATACCCATAATAGAAACTCTGTTTCTTTAACGTATTGCATACTTATGTAAAATTTAAGAAATTGAATATGAAAGGAAATTGAAATGAAGACATACTTGAAAAAATAGAAAAGAATTTGAACGATGATTCAATCAATGATCCTAATCCTAACCTGGTCATCAAAGTACTTCGGTGATATATAACCCAGCACCTTCATATCATAATGTAACAAAAATTCATAAACAAATTGAACTTATACATTTATTATTATTTCATCTATAAAATTATCATATTTGCATCTTGATATTCAACCAAGCTGATTTCTTTATTCAGCCATGGTCATGCTAAAATTGAGGTTACATATCTGAAACTCCATAGTTACAATTTGGTTTAACATAAACGTAATCTTTGGCTTAGGATATAAGTCATTATTTTTATATCCGTTTTGGTCTATCTGTTTACCAAACTGAAATTTCATAGTTGCAACTTGGTTAAACATAAAATTTATCGTTGGCTAAGGAATTGTTGCATTTTGATATAAGTCAGTATATTTATATATGCCTTTGGTCTATCTGTTTTACCAATTACCTCTTTTGTTGTCCTCCAGTCATCACAAAAAACTGAAATTCCATTGTTACAACTTGGTTAAACATAAACTTAACCATCGGCAAAGGATTTGTTACATTTTGATATAAGTCAATATATATATTTATACCTTTTAGTCTATCTGTTTCACCAATGACCTCTTTTGTTGTCCTCCAGTCGTCACAAACACCAATACCAACTCTGCCAGCAGCCACAGCAATAGTGCCAGCGCATCTATACACAATAACATTGGTGTACACGATGCCGACTCCAGTAATTATGTTTTAGTTTTCTTTACTTATCATACATATAGAGTTTATTTCTTCAATACATGCGTTTGACATAGATGCTATTTTTCATTTCCATATTTTTGGCGTAAATTTGATCATTTTCGTGTTTTGACGTTTTTTTTCTCATTTCCGTGTTTTAACGTTGATTTTAGCACATCGATGATATAGGCCAAAATTGTACTATCTGTGAAAAGTATCAATATAACTGACTAGTTAAAATAGAATGTTACCATTCATATTTCAATTTATATTGTAATGTATATATACATTCATCAATATTAATGAGATTCGGATAATGTATTATTTCGGATATGAGGGTTCTTTTAATTGGTGAGACTTAACAATGTGATATATTTATATAGTTACTGTAAACAGTGGAGGTCCTGGAATTGGTCATGAAGTGGGTATTGGTCATGGAGCCGGGATCGGACACGGCCTTGGAGCCGGTGGCGGTAAGCTTTCGATACACTCTCTATATATATATTAAAAATTACAAAAAAAATGTCACATTTTGAATCCCTTTTTCTACATTTTATGTTAATTTTTGGCGAATCATAAATCACAAACCGAGTATCCCTAGCAGCAAATACAACGGCATTTAATATCCCATAATTTTGTCAGAAAAACAACTGAGTGTCCTATTTCCAAGACTGGCTGATCGTTAATGGCATAATTGACGATAAGAAGTATATAATTATAACACAGATAAATTATTCATATTATTATGGAAATATTTTATAATTGATTTTTTAAATATATAAATACAGGCGAATTAGCATTTGGACTTGACGCAGGAGCTCTTGGCGCTAACGCCGCCTCAGCTTTGGATTTGGCTAGTTTGTTAGGAAGTTCTATCATGGATTCCGCAGCAGGTGGTTTAGTGGGAGGCGCAGGGGCTGGACATTCTGCTGGAGGTATCGATCCATTCGTCGCTGGAGGAGCAGGAGGCGGGGCTTCAGGAGGTGGTGTCGGTTTGGGAATGGACGCTGGTTTGTCATTAGGAGGAGGGCACGATCTTGGATTTGGAGGCGGAGCTATGGGTGGAGTAGGCACAGGAGGAGTAGGTGGGGCATCAGGATTTGGTGGTGTTGACGCGTTAGGTGGAGCAGGAAGTGGAGGTAAATACTGAATAAAAAAGAAAAAAAAAGAAGTAATAAATGAATAGAAAATAAAAAAGAGAAATTATAATTAAAGAAAGTTCCCCCATTATTAGTATCTTACTTGTATAACAGTATAACATTATCATGCAGAACATTTTGCATGTCATATTGTCGTATTTCACTCATTGGTGTTTAGTAACACAATATTTATATAGTTAAGATTGTGTTCATTTAAAACTGTTTTTCTTTCAATATTGAAGAAAATATTATAAATTCTTGAAAGCTGTGTTTTCAAAGTTTGTGTATTACCATTATTTTGACATTTATTTCATAACGTCTTTCATTCAACAAAAATTACACAGAAATTTTTTTTAAATTAAGCGTTGTTTTGTGACTCAGCTTATTTGTTTATTATCTAGTTTATTATCTTTTAAGTATTTTCTTTAACTTTAACAAACCTATTAATGTCAAAAGTTTATTTTAAACAGTTATCCTGTCTAAGCCTTTTATTGATATATAACTGACAAAGATTTGTTTGATACGTTTATATCGTAAAGGTCACGGAGGAGTATCTAATCCTACTGATAATCAGCTAGCAAGTATACTTGCCGGGCTCGGATCAGGCGGCGGCACCGATCATGTGGCCACCGCGGCAACCCATCAAGGCCAACAAGGCGTTATGATTGGCGAACCAGGTATGCTAATATTTATAAGCCACGCCTCTGTATAGTGCTAAATTTATAAGCCCTGCCCTTACTCAGTGCTTCTAATTTTGTCGGGTTCCTTACTGGCTTCGTTGCCTGTTGCGCTGTGTCTATAAATATGTTGGATACTGCTTTCAATGAATGTTGCCTATCCTTCCCATATTTGGAATTGTCGTCATAGTTTCTGAGTCATTTTCATATATAAGAAATACTTTAGGCAAATGTATAGAGCATTTGGTTGGTGGTGTTGATTACGGGCCGATGTTGTACTCTCCTTTCAAGATTTTGTATATGTCCCTTTTGGTAATGTCAGTAATGATTTGATCTTTGTGTACGACTACATTATGTTCATGATGATCAAAGTCACCTACGAAGAAAGAAAACAAGTCCAGAGGTATGGCGGAACAAAATCATGAGATTTGTAGTTCGGAAATATAAGTAAAATGTATACTTCTATCTAAAATACTCGTAGAAAAAATTATCTACATGAAAATGTATCAATATAAAATAAACAAATAAACAATTATCTACATTTTCTCTTACAGTGGCACTTGTAACAATGGGGGATCAATTTGGTGGTGGACATTCTAGCGGTGGACACGGAGGGGCCACAGGTGGTGGTCACGGAGGGGGTCAGGCTGGCTTTGACCATGGCTCTGTTGGCGGTCACGGAGGGAAAATGGGAGGTCACGGTGGTTCAATAGGTGGTCACGGGGGTTCAATTGGAGGTCACGGCGGTTCAATAGGGGGTCACGGCGGTTCTTCGGGCGGTCATGGCAAAGCCTCAATGGGCGGCCACAGTACAAACGTAATTGGTGGTCATGGAGGTACAAATTATCACATATTAATTGTTTATAGCATTGTTTTAAATATAAGCAATTGCATACCATTTATAAAAAAAGAGAAACTTAAATCTTACTCCTTATATTTAGTTTTTAAATCAATAACATTTAATTCCATTGAAAAGAGAAAATAAACTATAAGATATTCTCATTATTTTTGGTCCCTTGCATTTTTCTTTTACAATAAAGTGACATAATGCTCACTCATTTTTTCTTTGTAAAGTTGATTTGATTTGACTGTATATTTCAAAACATTAGCTATCATAATGGTGATTGACCAACAGTTATATTTAGGAATTGTTTATATATAAATATGTTATTTAAAATTAATCTTCTTTTTATAAATTGACAGAGATTCCTATCATTTGAGAAATTTTGTGTTATATGGTTTATTTATTGTTTATATGAATTGAAATATAAAATTAAAAGGAATTTTGGTTCGCAGTTTTGGTAGATTGCTACAAGACTTTACTGTAAATTCGGTGGATATCTTATATGTATTCTTTATCATCTGTGCCTTTCTAATTTTCAGGCCATGTGTAAAATTATCAGAGGACTTTGATTTTTGCAAAGATCAGCATAAATTATTTTGTCATTATTGACAACAGACTCTTGAGGTGTGATAAACAAGACAAGACAGACGTATAAATTATGGAATACAATAAGGGACACACAGAAATATGGAATACAATAAGGGACAAAACATTCGTTAATGAAATAAATGACATCAGTAAAATGTCGCTTGAGGAATTCTTCCTGATAGAAACAATGACTGATTACTGAATGATTCTAAAATAACATTTATTGAAACAAATTCAAAATTTACATTTGCATTTTAATATGAAATCCGTCCTCAGAAGATTAATTTTTTTGTCAAAGTAATAATATACCGTAATTTAAAGCAACTCTGACCACCCCATTGAGCTAACCTGTTGTGGTAGTAAGACATTTCTTGTATTCTTAAATAAACTGTTGAACTGTTGTTGTTATATTTTTGTATTTCTGAATCCCATTCCTTTGATTTGCTGTTCATGCCACCGTGTAAGTTACATGCGAAACCCTTACTCTGTTTTGTAGTCAACTATAATTAATAAATATATTTTGGGTTTTTACTTTGCAAACTAATTTTCATTTTGTGCAAATAATGCAAACATTGTTTCACTAATAAGTAGCCTTCATAAATTCCACCAGTGTTCATTTTAACAATACAAATACTTCATATCGCACAAGAAAACAGGTGAACACTTTTACAATTTTAAAGTATTTCCGGACGAATCGTAAAGCATTCTAGTGTTGAATCTCAACAATCTGTAAAGGCAAGTTACGAATTACCGTTGTATCATTATAACCCATACATGCAGTAGCAGCACTGGTTTAAACTTTATTCAATCCACAAGTTATAAACATTTAAACAAAAAAACTTTACAACGGAAGGCGATTGTTTACTTCCGCCACACAATATTCAATCTTGCTGTAACCAATTTATTCTGTTAAAGAGAGACCACGGAGGATGATTTATGAATGGACCCACATACAAGAATGCGACAAACATCACCATATAATATTATGCACTAGAAAAGATGTTTTCGTTTTATTTTCAGAATAAATGCCATTCCAAATTTCTTCACACACACAAAATACATAACTTAATCACGTTTTGGATGGATAAGAAAGAATCTTAGGTTGGCAAATATATCGTATATGAATATTGAAACAAAATGCGCCAATTACCTTAATTAAACACACATCAAATGCAATTTTGAAATAACTTAATTGCGAAACATTTAACAATAATAGAAAACAATAGCTTACTCTGACAAGCATTTAAGCATTGAAAAATATAGTAATTTAGTAGTATAATCGTGCTCGGTTCATCGTTCAAATTCTTTGTAATTGACCCTCAGGACTTCATGCTCCCTTGATAATATTCCTGCCTATTTAAAATTGAGCCGTATATAATCATAACATTATTATAATTACATTGATAATAAATAGCGCACTCAAAGGCACTTAAATGAGATATCTCTTTCCTAAAAAGAGAAATAAACATACAAACTTTATTAATTTAAAAATTCAATAGCATGGAAATAAGACTGCTTATTCAGTTGTCTAGTAAACTCACATTCCCTTTATAGGAATTAATTGATATTTGAAACGAACTGCACGCATAGGATATTGTTAAAATATGGGGTCAATGGCAATCTATCGCGGTATCAGCACATTTGCAAGTTGTTTTTCTAGTTTGTGAATTGTTTAAACTTATATAAATATTTAAATAAATACTTATTGTGAAATTGGACACATAGAAACTCGCAACATCGCAGATTGAGGTGGCGATCGATGACCTTGTTACTTTTATGAAAGATAAACCAAAAATGACATTTCCGCTAGTTGGATATTTTTAAAAGGCGTTGCAGGGAATATTGAGGGACGTCTGTGCTCTAGGTGTTAATATCACTGATTTTATACCACTTGTTTCTCATCACTGTGTGTTGGCGTTTCGATTTTTATGTGAAGAAGCTATCAATCTAAGTCATGGACGGTCCATGGTTCTACTCGGATGCCCGCTTGTTTGCCATTGAAGGCTTTCTGTAACAGTAAAAACTGGCAAATCGCCATATGATCATAATACTGTCAACGTGATTTGATACCCGACGTTAATACAACACTGTCGTGCATTTCGACAACTTCTTAACGACTGATTTGCTTTACGAACTTCTACATTTGAGCATATTTAAACACGGAACACATATATGAGAATAATTTATTTCTTTACTTTACATGTATTTGAAAAGGAGACCGTGCTGCATATATACACACGTGAAACAAGTTAAATTGTACACTCTAAACATTACAAAATATAGTTTCTCATATCCATAAATAAAATTTATATGATTCTCCAAACTAAATGATAATTTCCCTCAATATGCTGGTAGCTTTATATCTTACCCAAACTGTTTTAGCCATCCAGGATTGCTTTATGTATAATTATTTGGATCAATATCTTCGAGCAACACAATGCTGAGATAACATCGCTTATAATGTCTTTTCATATACATTATAATTGCTTTCTCAGGTGATGTAAAGTGAACTTATTTCGGAACAAAAAGCCGCTTCAGACGATTGCACAATTTAAACTCTCCTAATTATGGGGAATGTATTTATAGGTATAATACAAAATTAACGAATCTAATAATTAAAAAAAAATTATTTTTGTCCTCTACACCTCCTCATACTCTCATTCTTTTTTGTGCATATGAAAACAAATTTTAAACAACAAGACAGCTTCTTTTTGTATTTAATTTAAACAAGATAAAAAAATATATATAATAATTCTAGTGTTTTTATAGAATTTCCGAAAAGGGTTAAAGCAGATTATGTGCGAACGAAAGATAAAGACAAGACAAGCAAATACATAGAAATATTTCAACATTCTCTCGTTTCTTTGTCGAATTGAAGATTGTATGCAAGTGTTTATGAGCAAAAAAAAGGTTTCATTGAAACAACGTCCACGAGAAAGATCTGTTATGTCAAACACCTTATGGTCCTCCACATTGCCTCAACGCCAAACAATTTACCTAAAGAACTCGACGAAACAGGAAAAGCTCCACCGTTGTTTGTGTATTAAGATTTGATATTGTACAAGCACGTTTAAACTTGATGTATTGTATCAGTGAGTTTCCGAACGATATCGGTATAGTGTCTCATTTCAAGCTTCTTAAAATGTCATGTTTCCTTTCTGGTTCATTCCTTACAAATAATAATATGGTTCAGCAAGTTCTCGAGCGATGCCTCATTGCAAGTCCTTAATTTGTTAGAGTGTTGATTCATTCTTGGTCCATTCGTTACAAATGTATCTTGAGCGACAGTATTTATATGAAAACTACAACATGTGTATCCTGTTTCCAGATGCTAATACCCTACTAAAGTTCCTTGTACTTAACAATAAGATGTTATTTACGCAATACGGAATTCTTTAAGGCAATCTGTGTGACACTATCGTTCATAACAAAGGAAATTAGCTGATATTCACTAACAAAGCTTTTACCTTTGCAGAAACACATTTATCAGTGTCCGTAACTTCACATAAAATGTCTTTTACGTCGCTGACATAGCATGTTCTTTTACTATAACAATTACTTCCATCAGAAAAATTTAGTTGTTTTTTTGCACCTTTGTCATTTGCAATGGTTGTGACATGGTTAAGTTGTTTTGGTAATAAGCGTACATCATATAAAAATAAAATGAATTCTAAAAATAATATATGTATTATATATAAATATATCTACGTTGAGGAGTTAAGTTGGAGGTTAGATCCAGGAACTCAACCCATCCATAAAGTCAATTTGAAGAGAATTGATAAGAACAAAAAGAGTAAAACGGGTAACGTTGTATCAGTCAATTTGAAACATAACGTCAACTGAATAAAACCTCTTGCTATACGCCACTTCCGCTTCTTATATAAAGACAACTGAAATAAAAAAAAGAAAACGTAATTCTTTATTTGAATAGAGCGATGTTTGAACATGCGATGAATACAGTAATAAATACAGTGAATCCTTTTCACATTTCTTTGGAGTTAAGTCGCTTTCAAGATTAAATAGAATATACTTTTCGAGCTTTTAGCAGTACAAAAATTAGCTACACTTGTCCTCATAAATGCTGGGTCAATTATTTACAAATAGCATCACAATTTATGTCTCCCTTCAAAGAAGAAAAAAACATGTTCTTTATAGACAAGAGTTCCTTATCAAGAGGATCTTCTGTTCTGCTAAGCATTGAAGTGTTGTTTAAGGGCGGCTTTTGTTATGTAAAGAGAAAATTAGATGTGGTGGTTTTGGCAGACTTTGAATGTTTAGTTTAAACTTATTTTATTTCTCAGAATAATATATACATGTTACAATTTACAATATACAGAGAGCAATTCAAATATTCTAATTACAAAAAGTAATAACAATGTGTCCCTTTGTGTTATCTAACTAAATTAGTGGCCACGTATTAATACAATATGAATAGCCAGTCAGTCAATATGCATAAAACTGCATACACGGGAAAGGTCACATAGTGTCTCACATGAGGACGTTTGGACCTGGTATATTAAGAACTAAAGATCTATATAATCTAATTTTAATTTCTCAGTTACTTTATATAATTCACAAGATAATGTAATTTTACTCATTTGTCCATTGCAAAATTAATAACATTTTGAAGCGTTTAACTAAACTAGCAAAAACATATACAGATTTTATCGGAAATAATGAAATTCGAAAGAAAGATGTAGGGAAGCCAAGGTTTGCTAATTTTGATCATACAGGCTCATGATTGCCTCTGCATTATTCATTTGTTTATAGATTCAACAGAAAAGGGGGAACCTTCGAGCAGCAAGCAGGCAGCGACAATTGTAAATTACAAAAATAAAACAATACTTGGAAGATGAAAATTTCAGACTCTAATTACTTAGGAATGTTCACGAGGGATACTAAAAGGTGCGTTATATTTTATGCCTCACTACACCGGCTTAAGTTCTATTAAATTTTCAACGCTAAATAAAATTATTTAAGAATTGGAATTCAAAGATCCTTTAAGGACCCACAAAACATTATAATAACTTATACATACCACCGTCAGCTTCGTGCCTGTTCCGTAAAGCTTCAACTATAAAATAGACATGGACATTTTTTATGTTACTCTATTATGATCATAATCATCAAAAGAAACATTTATGATTTCCTTTAATAAAGTATATATCTACGCTACGGTAAAGCGAGTAAAATCGAATATAATATATGAGACCATCAAAAAACGGCAAAACAGGGCAAAATTTATAATGAATCCTTGATCGTTTGGAACAGTAAATTGTTTATTATAGTGGTTAGTGCAAGCTATGTCTTTAAGCTGTGGCAAATGCACAGTTTGAAAAATAGGCATACAAATTTGCGACTGAGAATCATCCAAAATGTGTTCATACGGCGGTGATCAGAAAAAGTCTCTCTAACATTCCCGAAATAGAGGCATAGTGTTTCCAATTTAACAGGACTCATTTTTTCCATTTTCTTTTCCAATGCTATCTGTTGCAAAACAATCATAGATGTTTTCGTTGTTCTTTCAACTAAATATAATATTTCTTTGTTTAATTGAACAAATGAGTATATTTTAGTTTATACAGAAAAAAGTTGGTATTTAATGTCAGTTATTGGAAAGTAATGACTGTATTTATTATAAACCAATTAAAGATATAATCGGCTCTAAAAGAGGAAATGGAAGTCATTCACTACTCATATTTTCTCTTTTCTCTTTTCTTTGTAAGAGTTGTCTTTCATTTAGTATCACGTGACAGAAACATCCAATAAAAACTTACTTTGATTCATATCGCCCATAATACTTCGTGGTGCGTAAACTGAAATCATAAAAGTGTTATTATGTGTATATTGTGTTTGTTATACAAAGTTTTCCTCTATTAATGTCACTGAATATGACAAATGATCCATCTACAGTCATATGTTATGTTTCAACGGAATTACCAAAACTGACACAAACCATTTGACATTTAAGACGGACCTATGAAGGCAAACCACAAAAATATTGACATTTGAGTATGAAATGAATCGGATATATGTACTTTGAGGCGTTTTCCTTCAGTATTAAGTTCAGGTGATTTTAGCACCACCATGACTTCATTTGACACAATGTTCAATAGTTTCGATATAAACTTTTGAATCGTGATATTCTGTTTTACACGAAAATAAAGTGAAAGGTATTCAACAATTAATTGCAACATCTGACGTCAATATAAAATTTTAATTAGATTTTGTGATCATCATATTTATAAAAGACAAAGAAATTCTGATAGGAAAATATTAAAAAAGAAACCACTGCATTCTGCAAGTGTCAACTAATTTGTCTATCAATCAGTCATTTTCAGCTTGATAAATAGGGATAATATTTTCTGCTTGATTAATAGATCTAAGAAAGTTCACGCTTGTCTTTGATTTATTCTTTGTGGGCACGTTGTCTTTACGACTTGGTTTCAAGAACTAAGATAAGACGAGGTTATATAATTATAATAATTACTATATTATCAACGTTTGTACCAATACGCATGCAAGTTTTTGTAATCTTTAATTCATATTTAGTCTTAGGGAGATTACGATAAACATATCTTACCAAGATCTGGCGTATCGGGTGTTTGTGGGTCTGAAAAAAGGAAACAACAAAATAATAGACACAAGTACGTTCAATGATAATTGGTTCAAGCCTAACTATGGCAACAAACGTGTTTTCTTAAACAAACCATAATTTATGTGGTTAGTGCTATCGAAAATGCTATGCAAATTATTCAAAGTAATTAAACTGAAAGTCATTTCCATAAACGTTATCTAAACAAGATAAAGGATTCATGAAATTTAGAATATTGAAAACCTGTTTAAATTATTTTTGTTAATTTTATACATAATTCTGTTTTAAATGAAGCGTTAAATATTCTAAAGAACAGTTACTGTAACAATTGCATGAAATTATCATTAACAAATGAGTTAAGCAATATATCATTTAATCGTGCGATATCATGTCACCAAAAGTAAGAATATAGAAGGGGTTTACCTATTAATTAGCAATTAAGAGTTTGTTAGATATGAAATTAACATGACCATTACCTGGCGTATCAAACATCATTGTTGATGATCCAGCTGGAAGACCAGCAGGTAGACCCGGTACAGATACCGGAGCCTGTTGTGCAAAATGACCCCTGGGTAGACCTTGTCCCAAAATAAAGGTCCGCCTTGGTCTTAAATATACAGCAATTGTTAAATTAATGAGGAAAGATATATAATGATACGAATCATTTATGATATGATTGAAATCACATAGAAAACTTTTTTTTTAAATGTTACTTGACTTATTGTTCCATCACAAGTATTTTTTTTAAATAACAAAGAACCACCATGAAAGTAATAATGAAGGAGTGATACAGCTACAAAAAAGCAAGAAATTTATGTAAACGTATATGTATATTGAAAACGCTTTAGTTCAAATTTTAGTTATAATATGTGACTTTAGATAATCAAGGAAGAGTAACGCGCATACAACCCATCCTTAGTCACCCGTTTGGGCATCGGTAATCCAGGAAAAAAGAGCTATATGAATAAAGATAGTTATGATATTGATATATTGAAAATTTATGTTATGTTTTGATTTAACATTGTTTCAAGCAATAAATGGCATTACCCTATTTATGTAAAAAAACACACTAGTATGGATTATGTTTGGATTAAATATTTACCTGGCAATAGTAGGGGCTCGTCTAACGGCTATCTGTGGCTGCACTCCAACGTGTCCAGCAAATATACCATTACCTAGGAGGTCGTTTAGATTTATTCCTGCAAGACCACCCAAACCTCTTCCTATTCCAACGGAGGAGCTTGCACTCGCACTCGCATGTGCAGATGCACTTGGAGGTTGAACTAATAATGAAAATGACAAATTTGAAAAAGATGTTTTGAAAACTAAAGCGCAAGTGACAACAAAGAAATTAACCGACACTTAATTTTTTCCCCGTAAAATAGTCTTTTTGATATTACATTGGGGCATCTTCTTGACTTGCTCTTTGTTATAGAATGAATGTTTCTTTTAATATGTTTATGCTTTAAACTTTCCAAATAGAAAAAATGCCATCTATCATAGACTATGTAGTGTTATTATTCCGTACGTAAATAATGCAAGGAATAAAATGTTCGCCTTCAGAACTTATATAATAGTCCTTAATGCCCACATGTATCACGTATTTTTGTGTTACAGAAATGACTCATGAGTATTATTGTCTTTGCCATTTAAATCACAATCTTAATTAATCATATATATGGAGTTTTCTTAAGCCGGTGCTAGTGACGCGGCCCGAAGCAAGCACATACCATTAACGTCTTGAACAATCTCAAATCGAGCCAGCAACATTTTCAAGTTTGTCACTTTAAGCTTTCAGTAGAAATTCCGTAAATTTCTTTAAACATAGTATTATACTTTGGGGATATATCATGATATCAATCAAAATTAAACACAGTCGATAATCAATAACAAATGTTTGTATCTCTTTCTTTTTTACACTCTATGGTTATTTCCTTTGTAACAAACTCCTTTAAGTACCTATATAACTATTGTTTTTATTGATATATTAAAACTATGATTATTGTCATAAACATGTTATTATATCTATTTGATGATGTCCATACGTTTTTTTCTTTCCCGATTCATTTATTTTATATAATACAAAAGGAAAACGGTAATATTTAGCGAATAAGATTAACAGTAACGGAAATTGAAGACATTGTAGCTTTCTTAACATTTAACTTTCCCTGGTCTGTGAAACGAGAAACTGCTACAAGCTGCACAACGTCAGGAAGACATGTAAACGTTACAAGCGCATGCATGTGTTCAACCTTACTCCCATTTAAAACATAACAAAGCATAACTTCAAGACAACTAGCTGCTTAAATAGCGATTATTATACAACAAGCAAGTGAAAGAAAATATGTTGCCAGAAGGTCAGACACGTTAGTTTAGTTTTGTTTATACCAATTTATTTTTGATCGATTGTGTAGGATGCTTTAAGCTATTCGAAAAACTTTCGAATCCGTTCCTGGAACTAACCAGTACTGAACAATGAATGAAAATATTCTTGTTCAAGGAAAAAACAATGTTTGCAAACAACAAACAACTTGTTCCTGACGATGTTTGAATCCAAAAACCAGCAATCTTTTGATTACAAACCACTCGGTCACACCGCCGCCCTGAATAATCAAACATGCTAATAAAAGCATTGTAAGAAACATACTATTACAAAGAAAAAGGGTAGTAAGAATATAAAAACAAGCAGGTAACGAATGAACCGTTATCATAGTTGTTATACATATATGTATTGCAAGGGAAAGTGAGAAAAGATAATGCATTGAAGGATAGAAAACAGGGAGAATAAATACAAGAGAATGAAACAAATTGAAAATGAACAAGTGTATACAAGTTGTTTAATGTTAAAGCAGGTGTAAAATTTAAAATTCTAGGACTGCGTTTTATGATAACGTCCATATCTTTTTTTTTAAGAAGAAGCGATGGAATGCGTCAAAACATGTTTTAAAACCCAAATAAAAGAAATGCACAGGGCATAAAAACATTATCGATGTATAACTATAAAAGATGAACTCACGGATGTTCTTTGATTAGATGCACAATCGTTTAGGAGATAATGGTGTAATGTAAACTACTTAGGAACATTTTATATATCAATGGCTCTTAAAGATCTCGTGTGTTATAATTGAGGTTATTACCACACTTAAGTGAAATTTTATATGTGTATTTAATAATTCTTATAGAACAATTTTCAAACATCGAAGTATATGTCAAATATGTTTTGCAAATATTTTTGCACATTATATGTAATCATTAAAATATATGCATTCATTTCTTATTGAAAAATTTGACTTAGACTTTATAGAAAATACATTTCACCTCCCTTTATTTACATGAAATGTTAAATTTGGTATCTTTATAAATAATGTTTTTTGGAACATACAATATTGATATATCTTAATTTGAGCATCATATTCATGATATAAAACCATTAAAATTTGTGTTTCATGATCTTTAATTTAATATATATCAATTGAACATTTATATAAAAAATGGGTTTTTTATCGTCATAGGCATTTTGCATTTTATTTACTAGTAAGGATAAAATATGCAAGGCTTAGCAATATTTGCAGTAAAAAAAAATTAAGTAAGGCTAGCCTAATTGCCTATTTTCTGCCATAGCATGTAGTAAGCAAATAACAAAGTGTATTCAGTAAAGCAAGCCCTAAGATATCTTTGTTCCCCCTCCCGCGATCAGTGTCAATTTGGCTTTGATAGACAAGTAAGTCAATATCTATTTTTGTCATTGAACATATTATAAAACATATCTGAATTAAATGGATTTCAATACAGAAAAGAACTTCTGGTTGCCAGGCATTTGTTTAGAGTTTAGAACCAAAGTGTTAAAGATTTATTTAATATAAGTCCCAGATTATATTTTTACAATGCAATGACATGACCCAAATATAAAAATGTGACACAATGTGTCAGATTCTGCTTCCATACTTTATCCAAAGAGTGAAGCAGTTATTCTTGTTGGAAAGCGAAAGGGGAACAATTGATATTTAATCTAGGCTTAACAAACCACCAAACCCTCATATAAAATTGGATTCATCAAAGTGCTAAATAGCAAACGCAGCTAACTATTTGCAAAGGCTAAATAAAAATAAAATTAAAAAATAAAACTGCATTCCTAAACTGACCTATGTTGATGTGATCCGCATCACGAAAGTCTGTTTAATTAAATAAAAACAAAATGATAAATAAATGATTTTAGGTTTAACTGCAAGTGAATATATAAAGGCATGCAAATTAGCGCCGACGTGAAGCAGCACAAACAAAGAAATTATCGCAAATATTAAAACTGGAGCTCTTGATAATAAACTTATGAATTATCAATTGAGCTTGGTCATTAAATGATTTAAAGATATTAAATCGTTAGTTCATTTAGATGTTTTAACATTTATTAGCACTATAACCTTAGGCTCTTGTCACACAAGTAAGACAAGACGAATAAATGTAATACATTACTACATTTAAAACAATACTACATTATATGTGTAAGTGGATTAGAACTTAGGAACACTAGTTTAACATTCATTGAAACTATTTTTGAATATACATTCTAAACGCTAATGGTCAAGAATAATTTGAATATAAAAATCAAACATGATGTACGCACCTAAATTATATCGCTGGCTAATTCTTGGGGAGTCGAACACGCCTTCAAATGAAAAAATAAAAACCATAATAAATAATAGAACAAAAAGCGGCGGTAGTTTATACGTAAAACATAAGTAAAATCATCACGAATTCTTTGGAAAATAGAAAGACATAGCATGATTTTGTCACAATTCTGAGGCTTTCTTACAATACATCCCCCTAAAGTTCGCTTCATTATAAGACAAACATAATGAATAAAAACAAATGATAAAAGAAAAGATTGATAAACAAAATGGAAAAGAAAAACATACGGCTTCGTCGAAGTTGGAGTCTTCGTGTTGGTGTACCATGCATAAGTTGCTGCAACACTACAAATAGAAAATTTTGTTTGTTTGTTTTGCGTATTACATCACACCGACACAGTATAGGTCATTTGGCAACGTTCCAGCTTTACTGGTGAAGGAAGACCTCATGTGCCCTTCCGTGCATTTTTTCAGGCACGAACGGGCACCTGAGTAGAACCAACGACGTTCCGTAAGTTAGCTGGATAGCTTCCTCACATGAAAGAATCCAAAGTCCCTGTCGGGATTCGGACGCACAGCGTTGAGGGGCAAGTGGTTTGAAGTCAACGACCTTAACCACTCGGCCAAATAGAAAATAAAACCATTCCTAAAGAACCAATAAGAAATAACATTGAAACAACAGATAGTAAGTCTGAAACAAATATTTCCAAATTCATTTTACAAGTTTATTCCGCTAACAATCAGATTAATTCAGCGTCTCGTTCCATGATAAATTCAGTGCCTCAGGTTTAAAAGTGCAAGCTTGTACCATTGTCACAAATTACATTTTGTTCCACAGCGTTGTTAAATCTCACAATGACATGTAAATGATGGTATGGTAATGGTAATCTAAAAATAGATGCTTCAAGTTTCATATCTTTAGGGTTCAAATGAAGAACAGCGATACATTTATAATCATTTATAATGATAGAAAGAATAACAAACAGCATTTGCTTATGACTTGCTTTTTTTAGATTTAACTTATTGGCGTTCCTGCTAACGTTTTTAGTAAGGTAAATAAATTATATTTTAAACATAGAAGATCTGTTATTCCGTAAATAATTATGTTGATTGCATTTAGTATCATATGTGAAAATCAAAATAAGAAATAATATAAATATTATATGGATGTTGTTGGTAAATGTTTGATACTCGGTTATGATCCGATATGGAATATCAATATATGGTAAATGAATAAGCGTTCTAGAACAAAAAATTACTATTATTACTATTATTATTATTATTTATCTATCATTAGTATTCATAAATTTGTTCATACAAAATCACTTAAGGACCATATCAACGTTTTGCTTTCCAGAAATATTTCATACAAATATCCAAATGATACATTTGTATAGTTTTCATCAATATTTGAAGTACTTATATAAAACATGACTATTGTAGACCATGTCACTTAAATGGCATACTTTTATTAAATTTTACCGGTAAAAGAAAAAAAACAAAACAAAGAAACTTACGACTGTCTGAAATACCGCCTTGTGACGTCACTAAACCTGAAATAAGAATAAAACAAATGATTATAACTTTATTTGCATTCAAAGTCGAAAAAGCAAAATCAGGAAAATATTTTGCTTTTGTCATATATATCTACATGTTTTCGCATTATTTCCTGAAAAAAAAAACATAAAAAAACGGAACACAAAGATACGACTCGTGTCGATGGAGGGACAAAGTTTCGTGACAAAGGAGGGAAAATATATGACGTAAATCAGCCACAATACTATGACACACAGGCCTTTTAATGTTTTAACAATAAGACAGGAAAAAAACCATGAAAAAATACAAAACTACAACAAAAATCCAAACAAAACAAAACAAAAAGACCCCCTTATTAAAAAAAACAAAACAAAACAACAACAAACCACGAATAGTAATGTTGTAATGACAGTTGTGGTCAAGCAAATCAAAATATTAATTTGCTTTTTATTGGTAAGTTGGTGACATTGTTTTATAAGTTTTAGAACCCGAAAATACAAGAGCCGACAATGTGTTTATTTCTGAATGACATTCATTGCTACAAATGTATAGTTACATGGTATGTGATAATGGTTAAACACGCACAACGTATATAATTGAAAATAAATTCTATGTTTTAATAACGAATGGCTTACTAATAAGTGGTCTAATTATGTTCTTTTTGTGTTGATTTTTAAAGTTACACCAATTTTTTAAATGCGATAAGGTGACAATGCCAAAAGGTGACCTTCAAGATTTACTATCCGACAGAAAGAAAAATATACGAAAATCGAAATGATATTCTGTACTACAATGTTTGACATTTTATTATGACAAAAATTGATAAAAAAACTTTTGATGTAGCGAAGCTAAAGAGGGACAACTTCGTAGGCGTGTCGATAATTGCCATATATTCATAAACATATGCATCCAGTTTTCAGGTCATGTCGAGTCAATGTAAAAAAATGCCGAATAGAAAGTAATTATTCATGATTTAACTCGGGCAAATGTCATATCCAAACATAATGCTTAGCGGACGTTGTCAAAGATGTCAAAAAGTCAAACGTTTCAGAATTAATTAAGCCTTTCATATTCTACCCTCCCACACATTATTTAAAATTCATTTCAAAGTTTATAATGACATTAAATGTGAATAAAAACATATTTGATCGTGTTATCAATTTTAATTGTAAAAACCAATAAAAGAATTGTAAAAACCAATAAAACCAATAAAAGTGTAAGAAATTATTTATTATAACAAAACAAAATAAAATATAATTATGAAACAAACGGGATCAAATGACATTTATCAATCTGTATGATAAAATATCCTTTGTTTAAACATGTAGATTTATTGGAAGATATGAATGTCTCGTTAATATAAAATCAAAAATCAAATGATAAAATTTTTTTTTCTTTGTTATTGTTTTGACATAAAGACTTAAAATATGGAAAGTTTGCTGATTAAGAGAACTGTGGGGGAAATCATTCATAAGTATTGGTGCGTTCTTATTTTCACATTCTGCCAGTTCTCTGTTTCACTATATATATGGTACATTACATTATGAACTATTGTACATTATAATGCTAAGTTTTAACCTGTAATGAGTTAAATAAACGGTTTTTGAATTCGACGTTCGGCTCAAACAACTGATTTGCTTAAAAGTTGTTATTACGCAAGACTGATTAATGAGTCATAAAGGTTGTTGAAGGGAGTCATATTAAAACAAAATCTTACAATCAAATGAAGGCATATGAATAATTTGTATCCTATGTAACTACATGTAGAAAATTTTACTTTTTCATTTAAAACTTCAATAACAATTAATAAATCTGGTGAAACGTACTAAACGTATTTAACGAAACGATGTTTAACTTCGTAGAATATCTATATTAAATTTCCGTTTACTTATACAGCGGAACGCATATTATTTATACGAGTCGTTATTTAACGTTAATTGCAAATTACCAACAATCCATCACAATCACGTGACATATTTACCTTAACATTATCTCGATCAATAATGACAAAATTGTTACCTTAGGCACTTCATAATTAACCTTTTTGTTGGCGATACGGCAGAGACAAATATATTTTTTACCGCCAAAATGATAAATCGTTAGTCTTTCATCTCATAAATGCTGAATTTCCGACTTGTGTCGAGTTTGGCCGAAGTCATATCTCGAATCTAACGCGGGACACCTTTTGCCTTAAACGTGTACTATAAAATTGTGTGACACTTCTAAGGGACTATAATATGGGCTGGCAAATTTAACAGGAACAATAAGCTATTTATAAATCAATGTAATTAATGAATGAGTAAGGACACAAAGCATATCCCTGTCTGATTGTTTTAACGAGGTTTCTTAGTCATGACCATATTTGCATAAAAATATCCGGATATGACGTGTGAAAAAATCAGCTGTTTATGTCCTACGCAAATCCCTATGTTCTCGGGCCGCTAAATTAACTTTTACCTGCGTCCAAGAATAATTCCAACATTTCTTTTCCAGTATGATTTATCAGATGGTTCTTATAAAACATTAACATTTAAGGCAAACAAAATTTTCATAAATCAATTTATAAAGTATACTTTATTGATGTTTCTTTCTATTGTATATGTACCTAATATAGAAATACTGTCATGATAGCTACATTTATTGCTTTTGTCATATAAAATGAATTAATCTAATATTCGATATAATGTATAAGATTGTATTAATATATTATTTCTATGTTGATTCATTCTGATTGTATTAGAACACTTATTGCCAATATAAGTATAGAACACTGTCTGGACTGTACAACTGTAACTGAAATTGAATTAAATCCAAATTAACATATTTGTAAAAGATACACGTTATAGGATTTCAATATATAAATACAAAACATGTAAGTTTACAACAAAAAGAGCCTTGTTAAAGTGCACGAATGATAAAAGCGCTAGAAACAGTCTAGCGTGACAAAGATAACGCGAACGCTGCGATTAGTAATCTAAGTGTATAGGCAGCATTGCAGTGTTACGTTTAACTGTTTCAGGGAATAATTTAAAATTATGCCATAGAGAACATGTATTTTTATGCTTGTTTTATATATAAGATTATATGGCTGAGAAAAAGACGGTTGTAAAATTATATAACCTTAGTCGCGAAGCGGTTATACTTATTGCAAACAACCGTTCATACACGCCCATATAACTCGTACAAATCATATGTTCCTCCTACATGTTCTGCAATAATTATCAATGGACCTTATTTGCACAGATAAAAGACTTAATCAATCAGACATCTTTTTAACAAATTAATTATGCAGCAGAATTACTTTATTTGAGGAAAACGAAATTTATTTCATAAACTGACAACAGTTGTGTATAAAGATTGTATAACAATTATGATTAATCAATAAAAAGCAACGTAACAAAAGTGCAGTAGATCCTCTATTATAATTTGTTTTATAATATTGCAAGTTTGTTAAGACACTTTTTATTGGATAAATGAAACATAAATATAAACTATATACTAGGTTGGTGCCAATTAATACGATATTTCTTTTGTCTCAAAAATAACCCAATATGCATAAAATATGATTAACAAGATCAACAAGATCATAAGTCGGGCAACAGAAATATTGTGATAAATACTGCGGTCATTATTCGCATACACCGTGCAAAATGTTACTTGAATCGTTCTTGTTTTAATGTCTCAGTAAATTTTTCTGAAATTTGATTTTTTTTAAAATATAGTGGCTCATCTTGATGCGTGCAGCTTTATAAACTTTTTTACCTACCATGCCGGCGTTCTTATCCAAATCAAACAATACTTACCAATCAGTAACAACGTTATATATCCTGAGAGCGCCTTCATCATATATTTGTGTTATGATGCTTTTTATTCTATAAAGCAGTGTTCAATAATCATGTAAATCACTTTAATTCTATGGTAATATCTTTAATCCAAGTTTAAATTTTGGATAAAAATTATAAATAAAAAGTGTATGGCATAAGATCTAAAAATGGCACTGTCTTTTAACAAAACTACAAAACAAGAATGGATAGAATGGTCTTCTCTGACTAACACCACTATTTAGATAAAACATTAATATTTGTCAGTCTTATATACGCCTTTACCTGTAAACACGTTAAAGTCACAAGGTTACGGGTCGGCCGGAAGACAAGTATTTGTTAGTGATTGATTTTTATGAGTATTTCATTATCATATAATATAAAACACACACAATAAATACTTTCGCGATAGTCACTTTTTCCGGCAAGTGGCCTACATCTAGTAAAAAAAGTAATCTCGACTTCTTTTTCTACAGTTTTGTAAGGTTTACATATTTCAGCTGCCATATCATAAATTGTAAAACAATCAGTGACGCTCTGATATGATGAAGGGCTATGCTGAAAAAGCAAAAATTAAGCAATAAAGTTGATAAACGGAATCTCAATTTCTTTCTGTTTTAGGTATGATAGATAGTAATGGAAACACAAATATAGTGTTATTAAATAAATGGGTTTCTACCTTAAATGGTCAAACTCAAAAGGTAGATATTTTCATATTATACGACACATGTTTTCGCTTTCTTATAGGGCCATTCAATACCCAGAAAAAATATTGAGGATTTATTTACCATCTTTATTTCGACTTCCTGTATCTTGCCTCACATAATTGGTTCTTTGCTTGGCCTTGATCATTTAAACCTTCATACTTCAACCGATATAAAACTGTATATATTATTTTAACTCCTACATGTATGCAAATAGTATTAAAATTTTGTATTTTGGTGGACTTTTAAGATCGCCCACACTTTGGTCGAATAATAAATTAGTGAACATTAATTGGTGATAAATAAAGCGACTCTTTTTATGCATGAGCAAACTTTATTACAATCATAGCATGTACTTACAATATCTATATTTAGCACAACAGGTAAATTACACTCATGCATTGAAAACGATTCACAAAAATAGATAGTGCAATGTAAATAATCACCTATTATTTACGACTTGATTTTTGTAAAGAAACATAACTTTTAAACATGTTTTCTATAAAAATTCAAATATCATCATCGTTATCATCATCATCATCATCGCTGTCGTCTGTTTCATCATCAGCAGCAGCGAAACCATCGCCGGCGTCATCATCATCATCATTATCGTCATCATCATCATCATAATCATCATCATCATCATCATCATCATCATCATCATCATCATCATCACTATCATCATCATCATCATCATTATTATCATCAATAACAACGCCATATAATCGTCAACATTATCATAATCATTAACAACAATATAATCATTATCATGATAATCATCATCATCATCATTATCATCCTCATTATGATCATTGTCATAATCATCATCATCGTCGTTATCATGATATTCACACCCATTATCATTGTCCTCATATTCATCATTATCATCATTCTTATCATCGTAAATAGAATTTACGAAAACATCATGTGTTATTCTATATATTCTATTAATTAAGCGTACTTTTCATATATACATATCCGTTAAATGGCTCATGAAATATGAGAAAACAATTTATTAGATTAATAAAAACTAGAAAATTTTAAAATTTGAAAATGCTATAAAAGAAAGATATGAAAAAGAATGATATGAAAAACACAATTAAATGTTGCATTTTCATAATCATATAGGGAAAGTTTTCCTTACCGAATTATTTACTCAAACTATAACAGTTTAATCGATCAGTTACACTTAGAGTAGGGGGACGCTAGACAGTCTTGTAGGTACATGTACTTGCTTAAACGTATACAAGTCTTGTTAACAAAAAAATTAAAACAAAAACACATGAAAGAATTGTGCGTATTGAACATAACACGTGAGATGTTCGCTCCTTGTTTAACACCTCATGTTGTTCATTAATCATAAACAAAAGATACATAACGGTGAATGTACATCACAATTTACAACGTTAAACGGCCTTCGTATCCTTTACGTCGGTTTACAGACGTTAATACGTAACGCTAACGCAAATTGCCAAAAACTTGCTCGTTCGAATACAAAACAATTAATCACATTTTGCAACCGGGCAAATTCTTAAACTATTTAGGTCGAATGTTAGCACAAGCGTTCTTTATTTTACATTAACCTGACATTGTGACAAGATTTCTTAAAATAAAGTCAGTTAAAGTGCTCTTTTTCGTTTTGAGGTTTTGGGGGGTATAGATTTGAATGGGTTTTATATAAGGGAACTGAACCACAATTAATAAGATAATAAACGAGATAGTTGGACGGAACTTTGATAAATGTGCATGAAAACACAATTTTGTAAACGGATAATAGATTAAACCAATCATCAAGGTTATTCAGATAGTTTTAATGAAAACAGAAAGGAAAGGATTTTAGAATTTATATATGCACTAATACAGTTAAAAAAGATTTACAGTGTTCTAGAGTTACTTCGGAAATTTGTTATTTATTTTAAGTGTGGTTGTTTATTTATTTTACATTTCATAAAACTATATTGTGTGACTTTTATTTTACACACAAATTTACCATAAGGATCTATAATCATGATTCACAATACATTTGGTAAAGTGATAATCTTATTAACTATTGCTGTTTTGTGGATATCTCGAACAGGTACGTGAAATCTTAGTTTTTCAAATTTGTTATATTCTAAACGAATTGTTACGTTCAAGCTTTGCTTAAGACTGCTAGAATTTGTGAGGTCCCAGCCATCTGCGAAAGTGGTAAACTGAATAATGTTTGTTATGGTTTAAAGTCACTCCGAAACGGTAATGGTCATATAACGACGTTCTAGTATTACTGTTGGTGGAAAATCATAGATGCCCCTCCGTGCATTATTTGAGATACAAGCGGACACCAGAGTAGAAGCACTGACGTTCCGTAAGCTAGCTGGATAGTTTCCTCACATGTAAGAATGCACATTATCTGGCCCTATTCGAGCCCACAGTAGTGAGGGGCAAATTATTTGATGACATCGACCCTTAAACTTTTGACCACAGACGCCGAATACTATGGGGATCATTCGTAGGTCAGCCAACGCATTATTTGTGCATCTGCAACAACGAGTGTATTAGTCATATGACGTGTGTCGGCAACTGTAAATGTAGCAACAATATTTCTCCTTACTTCATATCTCATTTTTGTTTAACTTTCGTACCTTCTCAAATAATCGAGGGGCGTCCGTGGCCGAGTGGTTAAGGTCGTTGACTTCAAATCACTTGCCCCTCACCGCTTTGGGTTCGAATGCCGACAGGGACTTTGGATTCTTTCATGTGAGGAAGCTATCCAGCTAGCTTACGGAACGTCGGTGGTTCTACTCAGGTGCCCGTTCGTGCCTGAAAGAATGCACGGAAGGGCACCTGAGGTCTTCCTCCACCAGTAAAGTTGTAAGGTCACTGTGTCGATGTGACGTTAAACCCAAAACAAACAAAACAAAAAATTTAGTGTTTTAGATTGAACATTTTTTGTTGAGCTGCAAGGTTTTTCTTGAAATACCGGCGTCTGAAATACGTTGTTTACAAAACAACGTTTGCCTCTGGCGTTTACAATTAAAATGTGTATGAACAAATTCATACCTTACTTGTTTTTCCCTCCAGGAACGCTGGTTAGGAAACTACCCGCCTATATGACTGAAATACTGTTGGGAAAAGGCGTAAAATGAAACAAACAAACAAACAAACAAAACTTGTTTTTCCATAGCCAAAAGTGTTAGACAAACATAAAAATACATAAAGCTGTTTGTCATTTATGCGAATGCGATACCGAAATACTTTTTTCATACAATAAAACTGTTCTATTTTTGTAATGAAGATTATTTTTGTTCGTTTTGCTTGTATAAGTGTCCTGATATATTAAATGAAAACACATTATTTGTTTCATCATTCCGCATACTTGAATCATAATCTGAGATAAGGATAGAGAGATAGATAGTTGATTCATATAAGACGTGTACAGAATGCACATGGTCAGAAAAAATATACATTCAAATATATATTAAACATCACGTAATCATCAAAGTTAACATTATTTAGTAGCAAAGTGTCATACAATGATACAAATACATCTTTGGACTGTATAAACAAAACATGGAGAATGAAAAAAAGTAATATTACTAACAAGATAACATTTGTATAATTATGCCTGAAGATTCGGTTGATTTAATTCCCTGCGTTTAAATGTTTGTGCTATAAAATTTACCAAATTTAACAAGACCTTTTTCTTTTTAGAACTTAATAAATCAACAAATTTGTACATGCTTGGATTTTTCACATAATATTTTGGTATGAATTTGTTTCTCAGGTCAGAATATTTTTTGTATGTGATTATAAAATGAAATTCATCTTCTATGTCATTACCGCAGAAATAATATAATCTTTCATTTCTTGGTTTTCGATAACGCCCATCTCTAAGAGATTCTAGAAATAAATTATGCGACGATAAGGTATTAACACGGTATCCCTTAGCTTCCTTTAAAATAATTTTTAAATCTCAATAACAAAGTAAAGTAATAATGTTTTAATATTCCATTGATTTCTTATAACTTCATGATTGTAGTATTATAAACTTTTATATTAGCCTGGCTTTTAAATATATCGGTTAATATCGTGCTAAGTACATGTAATAGCAATCGTTATACTTTCAGACGGTGTAATGATGGTTAAAGAAATTGAAAACATCATTCGAACAATCGGGTTATAGATACAATATTTTAAGAAAATTTGGTTCATTTTTACTACATTTTATTACTTTATCAAATTTCCTCTAGAATACTTTGTTGAGCTCGAAAATGTAAAAATATAAACTTGTGAAATGGAAACGATAAAACAAACTTAATAAGATGCCTTTAATCTTATTCAGGGCATAGGTTAGAAATAAAAAAAATGTACAGGCGGTGTGAAGGTGGGGATCACTGACATTTTTATTGTTAGAAGCATAACCTTCCTATTAATGACAAAATACAATTTACTAACATAAAAGTGCGTATTTGATTACGTAACAAACAAATAAATAAATAAACATCAAAGGAAAAAAAATCGACCACAAAATGACTGTTCTTCATTGGTTTATTTATATTATCATAGTTTTATGCGTTTCATATAAATTATGTTAACATTTTAACATTTCCTTTACTATCAAAAGTTATTGTTCCTTCGTATCCTATCGTGATAATCTAATTTGTTTTAACAGCTTTTTGACAGACTTTTACAACATTGAGCAATAAAAAAATGATCGAATGGCATGTTAAACATTTTGTTCGTCTCAGATTCAAGGATGTTGTTGGCTTTAACAAATTAGATGAAACGTTATCACTTTTTATGAAACAACTGTTTTTATTTAGCGAATACAGGTTTGCTTTTTAACATACATGGCCGCAATATTTGGTACATTTTTGCATTTTTGGTGATAACTTGTTTTTATCATCCTTTTTAGACAAACGCATGACTTATCCTTTAGGTTTACAAGTTCAGCCCATTGTTTTCTCGTTTAGGGCACATGCATTCTTTTACTTCGGGACCATACGCCACTTTTCATGACACTTTGTCACATTGAAGGTTCCATGTTAACCGTCGTAAGAACACATCTACAAATTTTATTAAATGTTGAATTCTGTTTACGCCGGTGCTAGGGGGCGTGGACGGTAACTTGAACATTCCGGTAATGTCCATGAACAGGCTCAAATCAAACCGAGCCTGCAAGATTTTCAGTGTTGTCGTGTTGGGCTTTCTTAAGGGATTCTGTGTTTATATAATATATCTGATCTGCGTATCAGTTACCCAGCTCTGATGCATTGTTTCGGTTTTCCTACATTGACGTCAATCCACGAAATGCGTTTTTTTTATCATTAAGAATGACATTTAACAAATACATTGAAACAATCAATGAACGCATAAGAGGTACTAGTAAAACCCAGGCTAATTTATCATTTTTACATGTACGTCAATTGATAAAATGCGGTCATAAAACAATAATAAGAAAGTGACACAGACCTAAGTGCGTCACACTGTGAAATTAAAAAAATCTGTATGGGGAGAATACAAAATGTCATGACATAATTATAAAATTGGGTGAGGAATTGATTCTTTGCTATATTGCATATTTGGTGTATTTGTATCCATATCAAACAACAATAAACTAGTGTGAAAATGAAAGCAAGAAAGACTAAATAAAGTCCATAGGGTAAAGACAAGCATATAGTAATGTTTCATGCTTTATGTTATCCCTGGCAAAATATTCGGATAGGGGTATTTTCTTTTTGCGTTGTTCCATCGTCTGTCCTAGCAACGAGATTAGAGATTAGGGTAGAATGACAAAAATACTCATTCTGCAACAATATAATTAAATGCACCTCAGGTTCAACAACAGATAAAAACCCCATAAAAACTCCAATACTAATAAACAAAAGAAATGATCCTAAGTCTATTTGTTTGTAGAGCGTATGTTTTTCCGTCCAATTTCGGTTGGTGGCAATAAAATGTACGGGCAATCATGCACATTCAAAATACACAGAACCAAGCGCAATATTATGTTTGACATTTTCAAATACCAAACATGCATTTTAAAGTAAAGCTGCAAATCTCAATTCTTAAAATGCGCGATATTTAATTTAACAAAAAAACGCAAACATTCAAACCAAGGAAGAAAAAAAACAATTTTCACGAGCATTGCCCAATTTTATTCAGAAATAATCAAACTCTTGGTTTAATTTAGTGTGAAGTTATAAGCTTATTAAAACACTCTTGAAACTGTTCCTAGAACCAGTCAGTACAATGTAATGAGTGTAAAGTTCCTCGCTCACGAAAACAACGACTTGTCCCTGACGGGGTTTGAACCCACGAGGATAGCAATCCTTAGATTACTAGTCAGACTCGTTAATAGCTCGGCCATGCCGACACGCTAAGCTAGGCGGTAGGTTTGAAAATATTTGAGAAGACTTCATTTATAGAAGTTATTTACCCACACGTTTTTGTATGAAAACTTTTATTTCAAAGATATACTATGATCATTCTTGAGTAAAATATTTTTATCAAACAAATTTATAGAAATCTATGAAATTCTTACTGAATATTTATAATTTGAATAAAGAAATGAATAAACTATGTATTGGAAGCTGTGTTTCCTATATTAGGTGAAGTAAAGTTAGTCTTTTCTTAAAAAATGCCAGTTTTTTAATGACACTATATATTAATATTGTGACTACCTATAGTGTGTAGAGTTCTAAAAATAACATATCTACTTTGTGTAAAGTCAAAACATGTTTATTTTATATCTACAAAGAGATTGTGAAGAAATTTTCAATAGTTTCTAATATCAAATTAGACCATAGTATATCTTTCTGGCAATGCTGCCTTTTAACATTTCTAATTGTTCTGTAATCATATGCTGAAGCGTTCAGTTACTATGTTATTATTTGTTGGGAGAATTTGATTTTAAACAGGTGAACAAATCTTAATTTGTTGTTATGTCTACCTTTACCGTTTGTTTGTTTTTTTCTTTCAGCTGATGCAAAGAAACCATGCCTTCCAGCAAAAAATATGATAAGTTGCCTGATAGACAGATGTAAACTAGGAATGAAATGTCCCGGTGACCCAACTGCTACATGCAAGTAAGTAACAATACGTCTTTTATGTAATGGAAAGCTTTAGAATATTCACCGTTTTCCGAGTCTCTGGACTGGTCTTCTTGTGCAGCAGGTCATAAAAACACGACTTTCATCGATTTTATGGATCATTTGCCAACACCAAAAGTGTACAGATTTAACAATAATGTGACAAACATGAGACCGTTTGGTCTTCTATTCATCCTGTTGTCACGCTTTAGATCTTTTTATATCTTTTCTCTGTCGTTTAAAGATAGTTTGCGCCTGCGCTATTCGTGTCTGTGTGGTTATTTACAATAATATGTTCATTCACCTGAGTAAATTTTCATTTAACTTTTCATTCATATGCAAGTTAATGTTCTAAAGACTACAGTTCGTCCGACTTTGGTTACATAAGTGCGTTTATGTGCTCAGTGTGCAGTGGTTAATCAATGCTAAGTGTGATTATTTTATCAACCACTTTGGAAACAATTAATGAAAAACTATCTATTTTACAAAGTTTATCAACCTCCACTATCTATTTCGCAAAGTTTAACAGCCTCCGGTGGAAATCGACTGAATATGTTTTGTCCTGTTTTCCTTTACTTATTTCCTTCCTATATATAAACACTGTTTTATTAACATCACATTATTGGTGGTCTGTTCAAGGTTATATATTTTTGTGATGATGTTTGGTACAGTGTGTTAAACATCCAGTTGAGGTTGATAAACTTTGTAAAAATAAAGAAAATAATTAATAATTGTATCAATAACTACTCCGATATATATTGGGAATGTCTTTTTTAGTGCTAAATAGCATCATCAATTTATCAATAACAAAGTATCTCATATAATTTTGTTATCGATTATGAAATGTAATGTCCAATTGTTTAACAGAAAAGGGTACAAAGTGTTTACACACTCACTGGCTTTAGAGACATCTAGCATTACCAAATGCATTGCCCAATAGTTCTGCGGCAATGTGAACAATGTTCGTTTACAATCACCGGCTTTAAGGACATGCAGCATTGTCAAATGCATTGCCCAACTGTTCAGTTACAAATTTAAGTGAACAAAGTTCTATTACACTCACTGGCTTTAGGGTTATCTGGCATGACCTAATGCATTGCCAAATTGTTCAGTAAGAATTAAAACGAATAAAGTGTTGTACACTCACAGGCTTAAGGGTCATCTAGCATTTTTCGAAAGGTATTTTATCACGTTTCTTGTGCTATATTTCATATTGTCTCGACGTTTTCATATCTTGATATTATAGCATTATCATTCTGACGTAGACAAATGTACACATATATAGGATATTGACACAAATTCTGTGTCCTTTGCAGGTAAAACTGTTAAGTCACCGGTCAATACAGTTCATATCAAAGGCTAAACTGCCCTATAAAACAAAGACAGTTGCCCAATTTAGTCATTACCGGTATTAACTGTTTAATGATTTATAGTGGTGTTGAATAAGACAGAGTTCATATCGGAACATTTCAAGAAAACGCTAGGTTGAAAAGATGATGAAAGATCATTTTTCAAACAAAAGCTTGCATACATTAAATGATAGATTGTCCCATATTTCAAAAAGAAATTGGTCACAAGGAGATTAAGAACATTGGAATCATTACAAGAACATTTCAAGAAGATGCAAAGTTAAGAAGTTGAAGCAAGGTGAGCCCGACTATCATCTCGGTCATTTTTAAGGAAAAATCTTGCATATATTATACATGTATGTATATACAAATGTATAAAAAACAGTAATGATCGGAGACCTACGGATCAAGTCAATTGATAAAGTGATAAGTCCGGGTTGAATAAATACCACTTCTATTAATGATATATCGTTTGCTGACTAATATAACAGATGTTAGAATTATCACTATTAGATTTTTTTTTATTATTTAAAAACATTTATTTAAAGCCGTGATCCTATTTCTTCTTTGTAACAGACTAATTGTGTGTGTTTTCTTATTGTCTTAAACATGTGTTCTCCTTTTTGCTTTTCTTATCTATATATAAACAATGTTTTATTTACATCACTTTATGGGTGGTCTATTTGGGGGTTTATGTATTTTTGTGGTGATATTTGGTATGGTATATGTCTTTGACTCATCTGTTTATTGATGCACAAGAAGTTAATCAAACAGTTTTATGTCTTGGTTTACCACTGGTTATCATACGATTGATTACAGACCTTTCATACATTTTGTATACATTTCACCGCACAAGTTAGTTAAACTTTTGATTTTAAGTTTATGAAAAGTCTTTCTCTTATTTTCGTTAATTATTTTTTTTTACCTTTTCTAGAAGCATGGCGAAAAATTCGAGTCTTCAATTTTGCTTTTTGTGTTTTATTGATTTTTTTTCTTTTTTCGAGAAAACTAAAAGAAAAATTATAACTATCGGAACGTCTTGTACCAACTGTATAAGCAAGTATAAAATGTATTCAAATCTGGAAACAAAGTGATCCCTCGGAAACATTAATCAAAACAAGATTACAAGAGAATTGCAGACTCGGTTTGTTTGAGTCTATACATGAGGGATAATGAATACGTACAACATCCCTCACGCCCTCTAGCACCGAGAACATGCAAATACAAGTTATGTAAAGTTATTGCGAAAATACTTAATTAATGATGTATGCTGAACTAAGAATGTTAATGACAAGATATTATGTTTGGAAAATATCATTGATACATACAGTTTGATTCTAACAACAAGATGTGAAATATATTAGCTAGAAATAAAAACAAAATGCACGCATGAGCATGGGGGAAATCTAACACTCTCAATATATTGCTTATTATACAAAAATGATTGAAAATAGAAGATGAATATTATTGCAATGTTAGTTAAATTCACAATCCCGCTGATTCGCCTATTGCCCCCTTAACACTTTGTGTCCAGTTTATATTCAGAGTATTTCCGATGGTCCTATTTGACTTGATATATTTGACGGGGATGTGGTGTAGGAAGGTGGAGGGGTGGGGACATTTCTTCTCTTTGATCATAGTGCACCTTCTGCCGTGAATTGCATTATGGAGAGGAAAGACACTTTAGCTAATGTTGCCTATTTTGCCGTTTGCTGAAGCCGTACATCATATTTATACTATCCAATAATTAGGTTGTTACTCTTAGTAATGACATTTGTGATAACTAATTGACTGAAAATAGTCGACCCGACATTTATGCACTAGCATCTGGATATGATTTATAACTGCAACAAATTAAGGTCAAACATGTCTTGACCGTTTTGTGACTGTCTACAAAGACAAAGAACAACTTATCACTTAATGCGATAGTTTTTATTATGATTTAAACAATGCATAAATAAACTAATTAAAATCAAATTAAATTCTTGACAATTTTGTCAAAGTAAAAAATATACTATCCTTCATTTATATCAAAACAGCTTTTGCGTTTGATAATTATCTAGTACATGATCATGCCTGGTATTGCAACAGCCTTGACAAGAGTTTTGAAGCAAGCGTATAAATCTTCGGCTTGATTTCATGAAATATATTCATTAACTTTTCCAACATCTCTCCTTGCTGTAGCTAAATTTTTTTCTTCAATACTTAAATCATGGGAATCAAAATCTTTAGGGATCATCTTACATATTAACTGTTAAGAAAAAAGGCAATAAAAATCATATTATTTCATTGACAAAGGGACTGTATTCGCCCAAGTGATCATTAACACATAGGCTGCTTTGTTTGATTTGATATTCAAACTTTGGAAACAGGAATTTAATGACAGTGATAAGAGAAATATTTAAAAACACATTTATAAAAATATCGTTAGAGAGAGTAACAGGTGCCCCTAATATATACACTAACACGGGTATCCATTTATGACTTGACACCTGAAGGTATGGAGTCATTTGTTGTTAATGGCAAATGTCCCAGTACCACGTGACTGTAAATCCTGGATTAGAGGAGATACTTTGAGACGGGGAAAACAAAATTGAAAGATAAAATTGTAGACTCGGTTTGTCTGATTGTTTGTTCATGAGCAATAATTTAAGGTGCATCATCCCTCATAACTCTTTTCCACCGGAAAATATTTAAAAATGGTATAGAAAATGTTTACATGACGTAGAGCCATAAACTTCATGGATAAGATAATATACTATACTCGCAAGCACATACCTTGTAAGTCGTCTTACATGGATATATAAAAAATGTTGCAGACCCGCTTTCTTTAAATATATCCGTGAGCGACAGCTATTATTGTTTGATATGCTCCTTACCGAATGCTTGCTTAATCCGGATTCAAAATTAGATATAACCGTAAAAATAATAACATCAAAATTTTCAACATTTTTTTCTTTCACTTTGTTTTCTTTGCTTTCATATTAGTTTTAAGTTATATTTAAAGGTTAATTAACATGTGGATACACTTTACCATGATGAATAACATTCTGAGTAGATAAAACAAAATGAATTGTATGCATTTTAAACATTAGACACTTTACGCAGACGATGATAAATATCTTTAGACAACTTGCCTTTTGACAAATGGCAGAGCATATATAGAACAAACATTTATATTGTCGAGTGTATTAATGAAAGTGCATTATTATATAGATCAAATATTTACATTGTAAATAGTATAATCTTAATAAAAAAACCCAAATGATATGATTGTCACATGCAATGTTTTAAAAGTGTTAAGAAGAGTTAATTGTAAGCTTCTTAAATTGGCAATAAAAATTAAAGATGTATTTTTGACGTCATGTCTTGATTAAAGATAGCATTTTTTACATTGCCTAAAATGCAATGTAAAGGATAGTACTAGTATTTTATACTAAAAATAGAACATATTTATATTTTGGCCAGTAAAATATTGGAGGACTTTACTACAGATGATTATTGATTGAATTTTCTTGTCCGACTTGTTCACTTATTGCAATACAATCACTTTAGCCTGTGATTGTATACCGCTTAGGTCGGTGCTAGGGGACCTGAGAGATAATGCACTTTCTATTATTTCGCAAGAACAGACTGAATAAAACCGAATCTACTAATCTAATTTAACCAAGATTCATTTTCAAACTCTCATACCATCTATACGTTGATAAACATTGTTTATTAAAGTTCAAAATCACATTTTACTACGTTTGTGTTTAACTGTTGAATTCTGCTTAAGCCGGTGCTAGGGAGATGTGTGGATGGTAACACTGTCTACTAACAGGATCATTTATACCGAGACTGCAACATCTTCCATTCTTGTTCTGTGCATTTCCGTTTTTCTCCATTTGGTCGCAAAGAGAATATATGAACTGCTCTTATTATGCACGCAATTTTAATGATTCTCTTAAATTCACGATATGTAAATTGTGTCTTATGCAAATTGGAAAATAGTTGTATTGTTTTTATATTGTTCATTCTATATGATTACTTGTTTCAGAATGGTTCAAACAAAGTGTGATGGTTGTAAAGCTATGTGGTTTTCGAAATCTGGCGAAAAAGCGAGCTGCGGTCTCAGGAAAAACCTAAAATGTACTTAAAATATTTGCATTTTGTCGAGTTGTTATCAAAGTAATTATAGGTAATTGTATTAAATGGCTGATAAAGGAGAAAAGCTTTAAAATGTTTTATGAAACATCAAATGTTAGATTCAACTGAAATACATTGTACTCATATTTCACCGCCATTAATTTGAATGTGCTAAGTATAACCTACAGAAGAAAGCGTTTGTGATTTTTTTTTTAATTCTTCTTGTCTAAACTGACAGCCAGTTCTATAAAACGTGAGAAATAATACTGTTTGTTATTCTTGTTATAAACTTTATTTAATATATGTAAGACGTTTTCCTTCGTTTACCGTGTCTTTAAAGTAGATTCCTTTGCATAAAATTATAATGAGAAGATGAACTTAATTAATTAAACCGCTGTTTATATTTATACATTGTATTTACAGTGTGCCCAGGAGGGGAACCTATTGTAAAATGCAGCTTGGACTTGTGCAAATGGCCTTGCACACATCCGGATTTCAGAGGGGCAGAATGCAGGTATTCAACTGCTGTATAAATACTAATGGTTCATGATACATATGTCTAATGCCATCCATATTCCATTGCTGATTCAATTTGTTAGGACAGTTGTAATGATGGCAGATCTTTTTCAGGAAAGGTCTGGTACTATTTAATTTTCGGTCACAAAAAACCAACTATCTCCCGGAAACTTTAATAAGATACAGTTAGATGTTTGAGACACAAATTTCTGTTGCTGCCAAAGGGATTTGGAAACATTTTTGGAAATAATAATTTGTGTCTTTCTTTAAAGAGGTTATTGCGAACTTCTGAAGTTCCTTCATGATATATTAAGATATAGATAATTTACTTACTGTAATGATTGGAAGCTACGCAAGAAGTTAAATTCAAAAGTGTAGAAACGCCTATTGTTAACAAAAGTCAATTAGATTATAACATTGCATTTGCACTTTGTTCATAAAGCTAAACAAATTGAGATAATGTCAAAGGAAATTCAATCGATGAGATATACTGTACCTTTGACATTCTTATAGAGCAGATATTTTTTATTTCGATATTTATGACAGGGGCTGTGGGACACGGCATCACAAAAATGTTGCCATTAACTTTACATGTTTCGGTTGTTTTGAAATGATGATATTATATTTTTCAGAAAGACAGTTTGTGGAGAGTGTGGATCGGAGTATTTTGTAAAAGGAAAATGGGTCAAATGTCCTATTGAACAACCAACAAAGAAAGGTATAATTTGTTATCGTTATCATTTTTTTATTATTATTTTCATCATCATTATTGTAATTTTATTATTATTATTATTATTATTATTATTATTATCATCTGTGATTGCATTTGAATAAATTGTTAAATCAAGCAACTAAATCAATCAAAGCTTAGTTCTGGAAGATCCCTTAGTGTAACTAACCCAAAGGTGGCATCAAACTAGCGGGTGCAAACAAGTATAAACAACACCAAATAAAAGAAAACAAAAAAGATGAACATTTCAGGCCCGATTTGATTGATACATCATTGAAGGAAAGTATATGTCCCTATGTCATGCACCGAGGAAACATACAGAAAAAATGTATAAACTCCGAAAAACGTGGCAATTGTTTACAGCTGCCCAACGTCACTGATATAAATTATGTTGTTGCCAGTAACAACGGATTTTAGATAGGATGATCCCAACAACAACACTATTAGAATAACTTCTCTTCAGGAAAGATGATAACGTATGCGACAAAACTTTAGTCTCCTTCTTAAAATATGCTTAAACTTTAATTTTTCTGCTAGATTTGAGATTTAACCTCTACATAGTAAATTTAATGGAATTGTTTATACAACAATTTCTTTGTATAAAAGCTATTGAATAAGATTGACTATATTTACCATAATGATACAGACGGTTAAGTTGAATTATAAAAGCATACAATAAATCTAGTTTGTTAATTCAGATCTAAAATTAACATGTATATTTATACCACAACTAATAATTCGTATTCATGCGTAAGATATGTGCACGTTGGTGTGTAATCAACAAATCTCGGACATTACTTTTATAACGTTGTCCTACGAAACTAGGGTTTTAAATTCGTCCGCGGGTTTCTGCAAATGCACATAAAAAGATGCCTTAACCCTCTATCATAATGAATTCAGATAACGTCATTAAGTAAGATAAATTCCCTGTACAATCGTTTGTTAGCCTATAAAACAATGAATGATTATTTTTATATCTCATCTATCAGATTTCAATGGCGTCTGAATTTTGTAGGTTTTAGTTTTTTGGTTGGAAATAAAATAACAGTATTGTTTATCCATAAAAATGAATGACTAAAGCATTATTTTATTGATATTTGATTTTTTTTTTGTAATGGATACGATGGTAGGCATGGGAAAGTTACTGATTTTGAACGGTGTTGCTGATATGTCCATATTTTATATGTAATTGCTAACCGGTCTTAAAGATGTATCTAAAGGCATTCTGTTTTTATGATGATAAAAGTTAATTTCTTTAAGCTCGCATTATTTTTTTTGGAAAAAGTGTATAGATATGTTATACAGTTCTGGTTAGTTGTGCCTTAAATTTACCTACAATGTGCCTATTATAAATCGTGTCGTACCTGTTAGGACATATAAGGCACCGCTTTTTTTTCCGAATTCGTGTGCCCTGTCCTGTTTGGTGTCCTGCTTGGCTCCTTGCCTGTGGTACCATGTTGGTGTATTCGTTCACTGAATGCCGCCCTTCCTTGTTGATCTTGTTTTTAATATTTTGAAATTCATAAGGATCATGATAATTTTCATAGTAAGGTTTAAATAAAGTATATAACAATTATCATACAGTTACTATAATTCCAGAAACAAAAGTAAACGGGCACATAGGCGCTGGCATATGCAACAAGGTGGCATGTTCTATAGCTGTGTGTGTAGGTCAAAGATGTTCGAAGGTACCAAGAGCTGTTTGCAGGTATATTCTTAAGATTTACCATCATTTTGATTATCTCCCTTAGAAGCTCTTTTAGTAAATAAGTTCCATGACTAACTTCGATACTCAATTGGTATTTAGGTTTCTTCTTACATATTTTTTTTATGATACGGTATATTCTAAGACATTGCATCACTGTAAAAGGTAAAAGAAAAAAAATCACATAATTTGAATAACTGTATACTACCTCTTTACATCAGACGGACACTAAATATAAGTTTCTATGTTATGTTCTGGTTATATGTTTGGGGTAATTTAATCAGAAAAAAAGATACTTTCAAATGTTTAATAATGCTTAAGCCAAAACTAGTATTTTTGCATAATAAAAATATAAACATAGTTTTTGAAAAAAATGAGAAAAATATCTACCCAGCGAGTAATAATATATGGGTTGTTTCATTGGCCATTGCGTTTCCGCTGTTGTTTTTTACTTCAATGTTTCTTTACTTCAATGATTTGTTCTCAACATTAATATATTATGTACATGAGCATTTCTTTCTCTTAAAACAGACCAAATGATTGTAACACGTGCACACCCGAATGGTTTCTGGATAATAGACCAGTTAATTGTGAAACAGGAGGTAGGTATCTGGCAAACTTCAAGGTTATTCATCCTTTTTTCTGAAATCTGACTCAAATCCGAGAATGCTCATTGGTCAATATACTTTCTATTATTGTTTATGACCAATCAAATACCTTAGATCTAAGTTATAAACAGTATTTTTAACCTTGGTACTCATATTCATAACGATACTTTTACTTTACCGTATAAGAATTCATGACGGGCATTATTCGTATTGCAATACAAATACCGTTTTTCTGTCAAAATATTATATTTTTATATAATGTATTTTATATATAGATTTGAACAATTATTTTGTCATGTATTACAGTTACAGAGAAAACTGTTGAATAATCAGTACTCTTTGATATTCGCCGTATAAGTGCAATTACAGATGATCTTTTATATTTCATATTTGAAACACATTCTATTTATTAATAATATAATACTGAATTCTGCTAAAGCCGGCGCTATTGGGCCTGTGCGATAACTTGCCGTTCAGTAAAACTGAAACTACATCGTTATACTATTTCAGAAGTAAGGCAATCTTTAATGGCATAATTTTCACAATTTTGTACAAGACAAACAAATAAACATTTTAAAACTCTCTTTTTCAGAACTGATAGCTAGAAAGCCATTGGTGAGCACGCCAATAAAGCCGTGGCAAAAGCCGTGTGAAAAGGGTATTCCCCTGACTAAATGTGATATGAAAGTTTGCGAGAGTAAAGTATGCAGAAATTTCCCAAATGCACAATGCAGGTAACATAAAATGTTAATGACTGTGTTTATTTCAGACTAAGATTGATTACTCACGTTGTATTTGTTTTGATGAATGAATCAATTTTGTATAACTCATTGGTCGCCAATGTGTAGCCATTTACAAAGTCAATGTTATCAATGCAAGTTTAAAACTAGTCATAAAATGTATGATGATGGTGTAAATAAATAAATGAAAATAAATATAACTATGCACCTGGGACTAACTGCTGATGGATGTAAAAACAAGTCTTCATCGAAGACTTATATAAGCTCATCTTCTAGTAATTTCAAAGTTTCCTGATGTTCAACATTAATTCTTAATAATCATTGATAGGTCATAAGTTTTGAATTAGTTGATGGCAGTAAAATACTTAATAAAGTAATAAAGAAAGTAGATGCAGTCAAAAAGGAATCCCTTAAGGACGCCGAAAACGGCATAATTGTAAATGTAGAAGACTCTATTTATTTTAATCTTTCCATGAACTGTACTAGTTAATTGCAAACATTCGTCATTGGCCCTTAGCACAGCCTTAAACAGTTACATTTAAATGAAAAATATTTCAGTAATAAAATCCCATAAATTAAACATGGACACACCGTAAAATCACATGCAGACGTCCTGATCTTATCTGATCTTATCAATGAAGTAAAACAAGAAGCTAGACAAGTTTGTGATGGTGAAATTTATGAAAAAAAAAGAATATTTCTTGACAGGTTGTAGTTTACAGAATGTTTAGTAAGAATATTATTTTAAAGATATAACACATTTTGTGAGTAAATGGTAGACAACAATATATTTAACGCACAATACGTATTAACAGATAAAGGGAGATAAATACACTTGACTGATCTTTACGTTATTTTCTATTTATAGACCGGACGGATGTGGCGGATGTCGGGACACGTGGTACATTGGCGATAAACTTATAGATTGTTATAGTGATGGTGAGGGCTTTAGTGACTTTTAATAACAAAACTGTCAAGTTTTGCTTTCCTCGTTTAATAAAATGAAGATAAATGCAAATTGAATATAAAGTTACTGCAGTGCATAAACACGATTGTATAAAAACAAACGAATTATTCATATAATTCAATCATTTATTTGTTTTCTTTGAATTCCTTATTAGTTACAAATTATTTATCATTTTATTGATTAGCCTGTCCGTTGCTCTGCCTTATGCCTTGTCCTGTTTTTGTTTTTGTTTGGGGTCCGCCTGGGCTCCTTGCCACTGGTTCTTGTTGCTGGGTCGCGTTGGGGTTTGAGCACATTGAACGGCGCCTTTCCTTGCTGATCTTGTTTATCATATCATATATTAAATGTATTGTTTTAGTGCTTACTTGGTAAATTTGGTAAACAATATCAATTTGTTTAAGTGCTTTCAATCCTAAGCATAATGTTGTCTGCTGAAAACGTCGTTAACGTTTCTTTGTTGATTGTTAACTAATTGTCTTGAAAATGAATACATAATGAGTGACTATTAAACAAATTGGTACCTGGCAACACGATAAGGTATTCGGCATCAGGTCTTGGCACAGGTAAGTGTGATAGCTCTGAGCAAGGCTAAAGTTTTCAGAAAAACTCACGTGGTTTTATTTTTTCTGATAGGCATGTAACTCTGGATTGAAATTCTACATTTGCATTTATACTTTATTATGAAGTTAATCTATGCATCTATGTTTGTTCATAATTAAACAATCAATTAATAAATCTAATTTAATAATGGAATGTCTTTCACATATTTCAGAATGTCCACCAAAGGTACCTATTGTGAAATGTGTTGATGACCCATGTAAATATTTTGGCCACTACTGTCCAGCTGCAGAATGCAGGTATGTGTTTTTAAAATAAAAGATCAGCATTGCGTGTACAATAATATAAATATACATTCTTAATATCTTAAATTGACGTCGCCTTTCAATTTTGACGTAATCATTTATCATTTCCTGGGATATTTAAAGACACATTAACTCTGTATTCAAAATAGAACAACATGTATTATAGTAAGTTAGGTATATTAAAATGTGTATATAAGTGTATCCCCGTTTGCTCATACTTAAATGAACAAAATTGAAAAAGTTGAAAACAGCTTATCTGAAAAAGTTTAATTGAGTATGGTCATGAACTGTAGTGAACTCAATCTTATGCGTAGGCCTTTTAGCACCGTCTTACGTAGATCAGTAGATCAATACATTTAAACATGAAATGGTATTTATTTAGCGATAATTAGGCCACTTTCATATGAAACTTTTGGGCTATTCCATAAAATGCATCGTATGTTTCCCCAAAGTTTCTCCAACGAAACCAATAGGCATGCAATTTAAACCAGTTACATATTTCAAGGAATACAAACGATGGGAAACTTGCCTTGACCTTTAAAGTATAGTTAGCGGCAACTTGGTAAACGGACATAAGAAAAAAGACGTCAAAGTGAAAGTAAAACACCCACATAACTTAACCAAAACGTATGAAAAAAGGTATTATGAAAATTGCCGAAAATGGCGAGGTCGGTTATGTTTTAACACAATATTTACAGAATTAGGATTAGACATCTTTTAATTCAAAAATTTACTCGAAATAGGGCTCTATCATGTACATGTAAAATTTTGTATTTTCAGGGCATCTCAATGCGGTAAATGTGAAGCAAAATTCTTTTCAAACGGTCAAGAAATAGATTGCGCCATGCCACCAAAAGGTATGTAAAACTTGATATGATAAAGAATAATTGTATGCTAGATATTTCTACTTAAGTTAAACAAATAGTTCCTATGATCTAAATGATATAAAAGAAAATATTTAAAGTATGTTAAAGAATGTTGTCTATGTAAATGACAATGATTTTGTCCAGTATTATTTCAATAACAAGAGTACAAATTATGTATGACGTACAAAGGAAACATTATACTTGTTTAATATGTTTAGGAAATTGTAAATCATTTTGCAAAAGGAAACATGCATTGTGAACATAACAACACAATTGAGTGAATCGAGTGCATGTTATATAGCAAGAAATTAAAATACTATTATTTTCATTTCTCAAAACATTTTATTTTTGATGTCCTGCTGCAGCTTCTTAAAAATGATCTGTAATGCCGAATCATATTTTTTCTTTTATATGCCTTTTAATGAATCATGCATTTTGAATGATTAAATAGCATGCTGAATGACATTCGGAATATCACTTTGTTTACAATTTTCTACCATACTGATGGTGTCCGTAGCCGAGCTATTAAGGTTTATAATTTCAAACCACTGTCCACTCAATACTGAGGCTTCGCATCCCGACTCTACCCAGGTGCCCGTTTACATCTGAAATAATGTACGGAAGAGCACCTGAGGTCTCTCATTACCGCTTTAGCTGAAATGTCACCATATGATGATATGATCATTTAAGTGTTGGTTCGAGTTAAAACTTCTTTATTGACAAATATTTTAAAATTCAGTCATGTTTATTTCCAATTTTACATGTGAGCAACTAATATACTGTAATAAACAATGTTATTCCTCGGAAGCAGTAATTTAAACAAATTTACATGATGAATAAGGAATAAGTGCAACATCGCTTACGTCCCCTAGCACTGGCTTGATCGATAATTAATTCTCAAAGTCAGTTATTTAAAAAAAAATTAAACACATATTTGTCCTCAACAAATAATAATCTTTTTCTGAAGAAACAATGTGCCTTGAATGTAAATCAAAAACTGCGATATCAATATATACAAAATCGTTACAAGTAGTTATTAAATACATGTTAAAGACAGCTAAAGAATAAAGTTATACGTTATATACATGTATAATATCAAAATGGAGCATTTTGGTTATGAAATGCCAATAGAATGAGTACAAGGATAATTCCTCAAGAGTATTACACGCACTCATGACTTTGTTCATGTAAACACTATAACTACTAATCTAGTATATATTTTATATATATTATCCTGTCAAGATAAAAAAATGTACATAGATTATTCACTTAATCCATTGAAAAATAGCTTAAAACACTACCAAACATGGTGGTGTCTCCTTTAGCAAATATTTCATACTCCTAGTTTATTATCTTTTTTTTGCAGAATGTCCAATGGGTGTACAGCCTCTCCAATGCCCATACTACACGTGTCCAGCCAACATTTGCCCGTCTAACAAAAGACTGATGTGCCGGTAAGTGTTTCAAATTAACATTATCTACTTTAGTTTGATTATGTAAGAGGTTAAAAGCTTATTGACACACTCTCAAAACCGTTCTTGGAAACAAACGGTATTAAGATATAAGTGCCAACAATGGCTAATCTCTTACAAAGGTTTTACTCACGTAATTCTAAGATTACAAGTTCGACGATTAAGTTCTCGGCCATTTTGTTTAATTGTTCATTATTCTAACGATAAATATTTATATTAGTTCAGATGTGAAATACTACGATATGCATTTGTCCAATGAAATATTGTTCGTAAGGATGCATTCGTTGTAATGGATGAGGTTGACAGACTGATGAAGAACGCTATCGCTCCTATGTTTCTGTCACTTTAAAACAGTGGATATATCTCTGGCTAACTTACAAATGTTTAGTTGTCACAATCTTCAATCATTTTAATATATTATGTTATTTTACTGATCTGTATTAAAGAAATCTTCCATGAAAACATTTTGTGAATAATTTTTGTGTCATTGTGCCTTGTCACACCATGACGCTTTCTCCTTCAGAATCGATCCTTGTGGAAGAACGTGTAAATATGACTTCATCGACATTTACAACGGAGAACCAATGTTGTGTCGTGTATTCGATGGTGATGGTCGACATCAAGATAATGCAGGACAAGTAACAGATCAGAACGTCGGTGATGGCGGAAACAGCGTGAATCCGCCTTCTCTCGGGGACATTGTTGGCAGCCCTGACCGATTAGGCTTAGGATTACCACAGTCTATTGATAGTATGTCAGGACAAAAGCAAGACAATTTTGTTGGCGATCTTAAACCATCAGGCGTTACATTTAACACAGATGCTAGTACAGGCAAATCAGATGGCAGTTTTCAGGTCAAACCTCTTTTTATCAATCCTGGACCTCCTATAACAGATCCTGATTTACTTACACTGTTACGATCGTACCCACATGAGATGGCAAATATTCCTACGGCCATGATCCAGATTGCATTGAAGAAAGACAAAGGCATGCCGATAACATCTGAAGCCTTTATTCAAGAGAGCTCACCAGTTACGAGCCAAGTAATTGATAACGGTAATGTCATAGCACTAAAACCAAAGCCGCAACATCCACAAAAGAATATGAATACTAAACCAAAAGATGATAAAACGGTAAAAACATCCCAAAATGTCAGAGATAATGTTTTTAGTGATCAATTATTTGAGCTGCCATCACATAATTCAGTATTATATCCTGAATTATCGAATCTTGCAACAGAATCATCAAAAGGACCAAAGAAAAACGATAGGTCCAATAACAAAGGTATCTTACCGTCAATAAACTCAGCACAAAAAGATAACAATAAGAATAATCCATTCAAGCATCCAGGAAAAACTGTTAAAAAGGTGAAACCTATTAAGGAAAAACCGGCAGAGAAGACTTCAAAGAAGCAAGGAATAAAAGTTTCTCAACCAAAGAGTCCAATTGAGGGAATACCAATCAGCATAGGGATGTTTACGATGTGGGCAATGAGCTAATTTGTCAATAAATACGATGATTTGATAGACTCACTAAACAAACGATGTGAACAAATCTGAAATTTATATTAAATTTCCTTCACTGATGGTACGTGCAAAGTGTCATTGACAAAAAAACGTACATTCTTGACACAAATATAAAATTATACCAAAGTATCAAACAATCTCATTAAACCTGGTATTGTGCTTTCTCCAGTTTCGATCAAATTCTGTGACGTTTGAAAGCGATTTCATATAGGTTTGTATTAAATATGCACGGACATTGACTTTGAAATCCTGTAAACAAAACGACTCGAATGTTTAGTTTTAAACACCTTGTTACTAAAAATTGCCTGATCATGTCCTATCGGTTGTTTTCATTCATTGACAAACATACTGGACAAATTGCTTGCATCTAAATAAATAAAAAACAATTTGTTTTGTGTAAATGCATTTGTTCTTCGTACTTTGGTTAAAGTCAAACATTTTCAGTTTGTTATATAGCCTTGCCATTCTAGAGCACCACGAGCTTTATCGACTTGTTAAAATGGCAGTAAAATGAAAGAGAGAAAGATTAGTTTCCTTAAGGGTAATCTTTAAAACAAAGCAAAATGGAGACCTAAAAACACGCCCCAAAAAACAAAAAAAGGACATGTTTTAGGCTCGTTTGATTTATCCTGTTCAACGACGAAGCTGCCGTTGACCGAAGCAGTACCCATATAAAACTATTTTTGACTTTAGGGGAAAGCCCGAGTAGTAAGTTATATGCAATTATGGTTTACTTTTCCTCACAATACGTCAAAATCATTACCAAGTTAAGATGATAAAAAGATTCTACGATATTATTATTAATTTAATAGTGAAATATCTCCCCTGGCAATGATTGGAACGAACTTATGATAATGTTGTGTCAAATATCATTATTTCGTTTAATTGATATAAACCATAACTATTGAAAAAGTTAGAACCATCTTAGTGATAAATGACGATACCATGACGATACCATATCATGTTCGGTTTGATTTTAATTTTAGTTTTTATGATAATTAAAGCATTGAAACAACTCTTACTCCCCACACGCCAACTCCGCCTTAGGGAGTCTTCATAAAACATTCATATCAAATGGCTAGACAAAAAACAATAACAATTAGCAATCTTTGCTACTTTATTCCTAATAGTAAGTTTTAACAGTTACATAATTATGAAATTCTATATTTAACAACTATAGGAAACTATGTATAATTTGTACATAACACTTATTTTAAATTCAATGAAATATTTCTTTAATAAACCATTAATATTTAGGAATCATATTAACTGATTGTACCAAACATATATATCAACGACTTTTATTCCAGTGGTACCTACGTATAATACTAATTTTATAACAACACCGTAACCTCGACAACGTCTTTCTTCCCAAGCTTCTATGATAAAGACACAATGAAAAACAAAAACGATCCAAAAGCTTAACATTTATATTTACATTTTGTGTCACGTGACCAATTTAATATCAATATAATCCTGACTATTTTCAGACAGCGCTGTGATCACATGAGTTATGTGCCACCTATCTTAAGACAAGTCTTTGGTTTTGTTTAAAGTTCGTCATGTGAGGGTTGTTTGAAAAGTAATATGATTGTAGGTCTTCAAATTAAATTGTCATTGAATAACTTAGAAGTAAAACTAAGCTTAAATAACTTATGTGATGTGTTGTGCCGGGTGCGTGTTACCGTGATTATTATATATCAGGTTAGCACAAAATTTTAATAAACTTATGATCAAATTATAGAAAACATTTTACGATCGCTATACATATGAAAATATTTTAAATTGAATGGAATATGAAGTTGCAAGACTCTTAGTTACTTTTTGAACAATTCCTTGTTGAAATACTGCAAGAAAATGGGGTGTTTTATTTTCATGTAAAACTTAGAACGAACATCTAAATATAATTAAGATAAGTATGTTTAAAATGAGAAAGTTGCAGGTTTGAAATTGTTCATGGACGGCAGCTATGTATCCAAGTCCCTTGCACGCTTGCACTGACTCCGACATAATTAGCTTTTTTCTTATATCATTGACTCTACACTCATATTAATCAATTTAATCCTTAAGATTGTTGCTGTAAAATAAGACACTAGATTGTTTCAGTTAGAAATAATGATAACTGTTATATCGTATTAAAATTTATATAACCACACACAAAAACGAAACTTTCATGTCAAACTAGTTCAAAGCTTAAAAGTACAGCTAATTTATAAAGTAATGAAATATTTTCATTTAATTCATGAATGTTAAAACTATGGTGTTATCTTATTTTATCGGTTGATTTTCGAAAATAGAGTGTGTTTTACATGAATACTTATTATTCTTAAGAAACAGAATTTAAAAGTTCGCAAACATATTTTTCTGCTATTTAAGAAGGTTTTTAGCAATTTGCTATGATTTCCTTACCCGCAATTTGTGCTTTTGAGGAAAGTTACAATCATATTTCTTCCACGTAGCTTTTATGGGTTTTTTTCAGACTTCAAACAATAATTCCATCATTTATAGGCAACAGTACTGCAGTTTTATACACTTTAATAACAAGTTCCTCAATCATTATGATAGTGATAATTATCAACACAAATAACATAGACACCGGGTTTAATACACAAGCAAAAATAGAACGATATCCTACATTCACCGGATTTATTGTTCACATATATTGTAAACATTCACCGAGTTTTATTGTTCATATTGATGGAAACATTCACCGATTTTTGTTGTTTTAGGTTAATGGAAACATTCATCGGGTACTATTGTTCATATTAATGGACATCACCGAGCTTTAATGTTAGAGTTAATACTAAGTTTTTATTGTTCATATTGATGAAAACATTCTCTGAAATTAATTGTTTAACTGAAACATTCACCGAATTTGATTGTTCATATTAATGGAAACATTCATCGCGTTTTATTGTTTTAGATTGATGGAAAATTCACCGAGTTTTATTGTTTGGAAACATTCACCGAGTTTTATGGTTCAGATTAATGGAAACATTTATCGAGTTTTATTGTTCACATTAATAGAAATTATTACTAAATGGAAGCATTCTTATTCAAAGAATAATTTACCATGTAATACAGTTTTGATAAATGGAAAAATTGACCCAGTTTTATTGTCAAAACTTTGAATAAATGGAAACATAAACTGATTTTAAATGTTTAGATTAATGGAAATATACACCTAGTTGTAATGTTTGAAATTAATGGAAACTGTCAATGAATGTTATTGAATTTTGGAATTCAATAATTCCAAGTGTAGAAATGTGGGTTTAGTTGTCAAATAAATTTACGAGCATTTATTAGTAAGATGTTTTTAGAAAAAAAATGGAATAATTTCTTTCTTACAGTGCTTATTATATAAAGTCATATATATTGAACAATTTTGAAGTAAGCACTAATCACAGGTAAATGGGTGCATCATGAATGTTGATATGCCACAGAAGACTGGTAAAGTTTATTGCTCTATTTATAGAAATACACCATATTTATAATCATGTAATGTCCTAAATATAAATGCCGTCTCTATATATTCTTTTTTTTTTGCATATTAAACATGTTGATTTAACGACAATACTATCACAGAATGGCTTATGACGTCATCAGCTCCACACGTGCTCATTTTCGTCATCTTATATCAATTGTTTTAACATTTCACCCGGCCATTGCGGCTGCTTGAGCTGAAAATGAATAATAACTTGCATTTAGTCTTTATGTCTAAGTTTTAAAACTAAGGATCGTCAGTATTTACTTTCAACTGTAAATGACAAAGTAAGATATTTAAGGTTTGGAAGGTTTGGATAAAAACGAGCCGGTACTGTTGATTGTTATCATTGTCATCAGGCAATCTGTATTGATAAAGGCAATCTAA